GCAGCTTTGGGGTCTAACCCTAGACAGTCTCGGGGACAACAGTAACAGCTCTCTGATGTTCTCCATGTTCCATCCAAAACCAAGGACAGGAAACAGAGATTGCCTTTGGCTGCCGGGGCTTCAGAGCTAACACTCTCTTGTCTTACGCTGTTGTCTGTGAGCCTCACCACCTCTGTCCTGCTGGGAGGCTGCGGGATGTAGGAGTCGCAGAGGTCGGCCCTTCTGCATCCTCCCAATAATCTCCCCCACAGGGCGGCATGTACGTGTTTCAACTCTTCGACTACTATGCAGCCAGTGGCATGTGCCTCCTCTTTGTGGCCATCTTTGAGTCCTTCTGTGTGGCTTGGGTTTATGGTGAGTGGCTTCTGCCCTGGCCCAGAGCCTAGCATACTCTTCCATGGCCGCACTCTGAGACAGAAGGGAGACATGTGCGGCTCACACTCAGTTTTCCTGTCACAGCTGTACCTAGAGCACCTGAGGCGTCTACATCCTGTCCTGTCCGAATCGTTTAACAGCTTCAGTGTTTCCCTTCCTTGATGTTGTGTTTGCCATGAATCCTGGCCAACTGCTTTCTCCCAGTCATGGTTCCAAAAGGAAGCTATGCCACTGTTTGCCCATGCCCATCCTAGTCTGTTTGACCCCATCCCAGCCTCTCTCAGTCTGAAATGTGTCTTTTGTCCTTCTTCTTTCCCCTGACAGGAGCCAGCCGCTTCTATGACAACATTGAGGATATGATTGGGTACAAGCCGTGGCCTCTTATCAAATATTGTTGGCTCTTTTTCACCCCAGCTGTATGCATGGTAACAGAACTCTCAAGGGGTCAAGGTAGGGCGCAGGGTGGAGGGGGATTGAGGTTGCAGCAGAGTGGAGACTCCTAGTTTCTCAGGCCTTGGATGCCATCTTAGATTTTCATTCACTCTCTCCCTAGATAAGATACGAAGAGGAATTCCTCCTTTCCCCATCACAGAGGATTTCCTCTAATCACAGAGGGATTAATGAAGGTTCAAGACTGGCAGATGAGCTGACCAATAGCACAGTGTGAGGCTGACGGCATGTTCAAGGTTGACCAATAGCACAGCACGAGGCTGCTGTCCCAGACAGGACTGAAATGCGATGTTAGGCTGCTCAGAATCATGCTTGTGAGCGCAGCAGCATATCCATAGAGTACCAAACACACACACACACACACACACACACACACATGCACGCACGCACGCACACACACACGCACGCATGCACGCGCACACACACGCACACGCACACACACACACACACCATACACACACATACACACACACATACACACACCACACACACACACCACACACACACACCACACACACACACACCACACACACACACACACACGCACACACACACACACGCACGCACACACGCACACACACACGCGCGCGCGCACACACACACACACACACACAGAGGCGGTCTCAACTCACAGGACAAATGCCAGCTTTACACTTACTTTATAGACAAAACAACCTCAGCAGGTGAAGCACTCACACCATCTTGGATGTTTCCGAGAGTTCGGCAGTTCTGGAGCTCCTACTGGGTACCAGATATGAACTAGTTGGGTAGCATAGCAGGAGACTGGAGTCCTCATGGCTGACTCGGTGCAGGAGATGGAACCCAGTTATGTCCTAAGTAGAGCCGACTGAGGAGAGGGACCCAAGGGACAGGGAATGTACACTGAAAATAGCTATCCAGGAGTGGAATTTGAGCAGAATGTAGGTGGAGCTTGGAGACTGAATGACCTCAGTAGGTAGCACAGCCTGCTGGGAAAACAAACCCTACCAGGCAGCCATGAGGGTGGGGGTCCTGAAGGGACAGGGCCCCAGCACCAACCTCTTTCTCTTCCGTTTCTCTCTAGGCAACCTTCCTGTTCTCCCTGATCAAATATACACCACTGACCTACAACAAGAAGTACACATACCCATGGTGGGGGGACGCCCTGGGGTGGCTCCTGGCTCTGTCCTCTATGGTCTGCATTCCTGCCTGGAGCATCTACAAGCTTAGGACTCTCAAGGGCCCGCTCAGAGAGGTAGGAGGAAAGCAGTGAGGGATGGGACCCTCGCTGGATGAGTAGGACTTGCATGGCAAGAGGGTTGCCTCCCACGGGAGTTGGTATGGGGGACCACCCTCACAAGACCTGGCGTGGGTACCAGGGATCCAGAGAAAGAGTACTTGGTAGTCTCAAAAAGGGACACGGCATAACTGCAAGACCCAAGCTGTGACTATGGGCTTGGCAGCTGGAAGCAGGTTTACAGCAGGGAAGGCAGACGGGCATTAGTAATGAGGGACACTGGCAGGCACGCCTCTACCATGACACTTATCTCTACTGTCCTTTCAGAGGCTCCACCAGCTTGTGTGTCCAGCTGAAGACCTTCCCCGGAAGAGCCGACCAGAGCCCACTGCTCCTGCGACACCTATGACATCCCTTCTCAGGCTCACAGAGCTGGAGTAACTGCTAGGGCCAGGGCCTTTGACATGCTGTGAGCCTGGCTATGGGGACAGCTATCAGAGCAGAGGCAAGATGTGCTGGGGCAGATGAGACGAGAGGGGGTATTCGGAACCCACCTTCTGAGCTGGGTGCCTCCTGCATAAACTCTCCTGTTCCAGGGTGGTCCAAACGTTGTGACGTGCCCACATCGGTAACACCCCTTGAAGGCAGCTTATGAAGCCCAGCAAGGGCCAGGGAGGTGAAAGCCTGTTGGTCGCTGGGCCCTCTTCCCTCCATGCCATTAAATCCAACTTCCTTCCACCACTGTTTGCCAACATGGCTGGTTTCTGCCCTCTCTTTGTGCCTTGTCTGCCTCTCCATTGTGAAATGGACTCTGGGGTCCTGCCTCCTCCTGACTCTCCTTCCCCACTGAGTTTTTACAGGACCACATGGCAGGTGTGACTGGTCTGGTTGGGTAGGGGGCACATGATGGGGCCAGGTCAATGTCCGCCATCACACATTTGGACTGCAGAAAGCTGCCCTCTCCTCCACGCTTTTCTGAAGTGTCAAGTGTGGTCCCGCGTTATCATTGCCCCTACTTCTCACCATGGTTCCACCCTGCCCTCTCCTATCCCCATCACAGGTTTAAAAAGGGGAGGTGGAGGGGAGGACAAAGGGGACCGGGCCCTGGTTTACAAGATGGAAGAAGTCAGACTGGTTACAGTTTCCTCCTGTCCACATGACCCTTGGTGTATCCTGCTTGTCAGCACTGTTGACTGTGCGCACCCATGGGCTGATGCAGGCTGAGAGGAGGTGGCCCGCTGGGCCTTTGCAGACTGAGATGGATGCAGAGGGCCCTTGTAGAGGAAGCCCTGCTCTGACTCTGCCAGCAGGGGGATCCACTTCCTTCAGATGGTCTTATTCTCAGTTAGCAAGAGGCTCCAACACAGGGCACTGTCACTTCCAGATGTGACCACAAGGGGGTGGCATTGTTATGTGCTCGGCCTGAGTGTCGGCGATGAACCCTGAAGGCTAGGTTTCAAGATTATCAGGCAGAAGGCAGGCGAAGCTCCAGGATGTTGACTGGAGGTCAAAGCAAGGTCCCAGGCATGCCTTAGCAACAGGCCTCTAAGGGGATGGGGAGGAGCGTCAGTTGCTGTTGTGTGATGTCAGCATGGACAGAACGTGCATTTCTCCCCATCTAGTGCAAGCTCTACCTGGGTCCTGCGGTGTTCCCTGATTGACTAAGTGACCTCTGACTCTCTGAGATGCTCAGGCATTTCAGGAGGCTTCTCAACTTTTCACACACTTGTCAGTTTCAAGGGAAATGTATTGAAATCCTTGCCAGTGTTTAGGTTTCTGTTTTGGATCTGAAGGGTCTGTAGAAACCAGGGACAGTGACCCTCCTGTGTGGGGACATTGATTCTTCCTCCTAGGTGCCTTGGATGCAGGCGTGGTCACAGTGCTGCAGGTGTAATGTGTCTCTCACACCTCTGCCCACATGACCATGTTTCTAGAAGACCCATGTCTACAGCATCACATTTTAGTTACCACACATATGGGCAGAACCAGAATCCAAGCCATGTGTTCTCTTTTTTGAGACAGGGTCTCACTATGTATCCTTGGCTGGCCTGCAGCTTGTTTAGTAGAGCAGGTTGGCCACTCGCCTCTGCCTCTGAGTCCTGGAATTAAAGGTGTGCACCACCGTGCCTGACCCAGAAGCAGTTTCCTTGACAAACGAACAAAGTGCCCTGAGCGGGAGTCACGGAGGGTGACTGGGTAGGCCATTCGGAGTGTATGCTGTCTATATCGGCCCCCTTGTTTGATGAAAGTTTTCTAAATCTGCTGAGGAAGTTTTCTAAATCTCTTTAGTGATGGTGAAGTGAGTCCCTCTCATGAGAGTCACAAATGGTGGAATAAATGGTGTGAAAACCATGTGTTATAGCCCAAGAGTCAGGGAGCTGCCTCTGTCCCTGACTTGTGTCTCCCTCATGACATGTTTTGGTAGAAACTCCTTGGAATTCATGCTCATTTTTCAGGTGTGTGTAACATTATGTACTTTACCCACACAGGCCTATTACAGGGCTCAAATGAAGTCAGGAGCCCCCAAGTGTTCTTTTAGTACGGTATTGGGATGGGTGTGGGAGAAAACACCAGCTATCCTTGTGGGGCTGGCAGGTGGGGATGTGAGAAATGTGGCTGGTGTGGTCGGGTTTGACCAGCATGGTTTCATTTTTGCTTTTGTTTTGTTCTTAGACAGGATCTCAGTCTTAGCTCAGGGTAATCTTAGGCTCACAGAGATCCTCCTGCCTCAGCTTTCCCAAGTGTTGAGATTATAGGTGTGAGTGACCATGCCTAGGTGTGGTCAGGTTGGGAGCTTCTTCCAAGGTACTTGGTTCTTCTATGGTGCTTGGCTTTGCCTGGGGTAGGGGCAGCGGGGAGGTAAAGGGTGGAGGAGAACTGAATTGTGTCTCTACCTGGAAGGGCAGAGACTGGATCCTGCAGTACCCGAAGAGGAAAGCAGGGTGGGGGTGGGAGGAGGCCACACAGCTAGAGAAGGCAGGCGGGCAGGCGGGCAGGCAGCAGAGTCTTACAGGAAGTGATCTCTGAGAGCAGTAGGCAAAGGGCTTGGAACTACTGGCATCAGAGAAGATGTCCAGGACATCAGGGAGGCACTTACTAGACACAGAGCCTACTAGGCTGCCTGGAGACTTCAACTGCCCAGGGCTCACACTCAGGCATAAGCACACAGCCTCTGGTGAGCCTTAGACAATGCACGAGCGTACCCTGGCAGTCTTCTCCACAGAGGCTTACTCTTCTTTGACCCTTGACTCCCATACTCAATAACTTAGGCTAACAAACCCCTCAGATGCTCAGTTTTCTTCTCTAAATATGCTAACGTTACTAGTCACCCCACAGGATCACCAGCCTCCAGCAGAGGCAGCTCCCCCGGAAACACTTTGACAAACCCTCCCACGTACTGCATCTGCACCCCACCAGAGGCTCTCCTCATAGCAGAAAAGCCCAGGAGGTGTTCAGGACAGCTTCCACCTCTCAGTCTCAGGAAGAAGGTTGTGTATTTACTGAGCTAAGTGAGATGAGGAAGTTTCCCCCCAAGCAGTCTGTGGTCCAATGTCCCTGCTCAGCATGAGGAGTTGTCTAGAAGCAGTGGGACCGGAGCCCTTCATGTCCTGTTCTGTCCCTGGTTCTGAGAGACCAGCATATGCTGGCCCAGCAAAGGGATGAGCACCACCATTTTCTCCTGCAGTTGCATCCCCCCCCCCCCCCTTCTCTGTCCCCATCCAGCCATTCGATACAGGCCAAGGGCCTGCTCTGAGGCAGCGTGTATTAAGTGCTAAAACAGCAGCGGAGATGCTTGCAATGAGACTCCTGCCCAATGGCTGTTCATGATCTGGGGAAGGAGCATGTGATAATGGAACCCAGAGACACAAGTTCAGATCCCAGCCTCTCCACTTACTGTGTACGGGCATGGGTTGAATTGTGTCACCTCTATTCACCCCAGTGGCTTCCTCAAGAGAAGAGTCTTTAGTATCCACACCTCAAGGCTCCTAAGGGAGGCAGCACATGGCGTATCCAGCCTGAGTTAGGGGCTCAGGAAATGGACTCCATGCCAGGGCCCTGTGAGCAGGCACGGGGTCAGAAAATGATAAATGCCAATGGTTCTTCCCGTAGCAAGATTGTATATTTATTTCAACTCAGCACAGCACTTTGCAGGTGTTTGCAAAGACATGGTCTCTGGCTTCTTGAGTTGGGATGAGCTTAGTTGAGGGGGGCCAACATTAAGACAGGGAGACAAAGGCTATAAGAAGACAAAAGTCTGAGGTAGCCAGGTAAAGGTGGGAAGGATTAGGTAAAATGAGACTCTGCTCATTGGGCAGAATGGGCATAGAGTCAGACTGTTTTTCATACACGCTGGTGTCTCCGGTGCATGAGGCACTAGGGGATCACAATGGCAGGCCCAACCTGCAAAGATAGAGCAGACCCGGCAGGGCAGGCTGCACCTTGCCAGATGAGCATGGGCATGAGAGGTGTGTGGGTTCTGGCAGGCCATGACTCTTTCTTCCAGAGCTGATCCCCAGCCCCACTCTTGGTTTCTCTGAGGTAAAGGGGTTGAGAGCCAGCCTCATTTTGGTTTTTCTTGATGGGAAACAGAGGCCAAGGGGGCCCTGAGGGATGGTGAGTGGGGTGCCAGTGGAAAATTACAGACTGCCAGTCATACTTCACACCCTCCACTGCTAGGAAGTTCTAGCAGACAAAGGGGAAGTCCACGTAAAAGGAAATTTCCCTTTCTCCCCACAACTTCCTCTGTTGCCATACCACCCGGCACTGAAGGAGCATCTTGGTTTTCCCAGAGGCCACAGGCCTTTTCATTTCCACGCCGTGAAGACACACATGGAGAACCCTGGTTTGGAAAATCCTCTCATCATGGCTGAGGGGACACACATTCCACACGTGGATTCACATTTGACAGCTGCCAGGCTGTTCCGGATTAGCCTTCGGTGTGTGGCTTGATGCTGCCCAGAATCACACTGTCTGGATCCAGAATCCCACCAGAGCCCACGGCAGATACTGCCTGCTCTCCTTAAGTACCTGTGCTTGACTTTAACCCTCACAGCAACCCTGCAAACCACACATCATCCACTTGTCCAGAGTGGGAAACTGAAGCTCAGAGTCTGCCCTGGACCGTGGGGAGGGAGGACAGGAAAGTCAGGGTGGGTGGGCTGTGCCCTGGATCCTATTGGCATTTCCCCTCCTGAGAGATGCAGGCTCTGGAGCTTTCTCTAGGAAAATCCCAAGGAGAAGGCAGTGGCTGCAAGGTCTGGGGCTTTACTGGGGAGCCACAGAGGCCAGGTACTCTGTGGAAAACTCCAGTGTGTGATTCACCCTCCTCCCATGCCCTCGTCACCGAGCCCAGCTCCCCTCCCAAGGTCCTCAGTGTCCAGCCTGGAAGTTGGTGGCTCCCATCCCACTGCTCTGGTAAGAGGGGCTGTACCTTGCCTAAGAAGGAGCCAGTGTTAGGGGTGGAGGCGAGAGGAAGGGTAAGGGGCTGGGAGCAGGAGGAGAGACGTCAGGGAGGTAGGGCTGCCCACAGCAGCAGCTCAGCAAGGTTCTGGGGGGGGGCTTTTCTTGGACAGTGCCCACTGGGAAGACACTAGTTAGGAGGGAGGGGGCTGAAGGGGAGAGAGAGACAGGGTTAGAGAGCTTCACTTCCCGAGGGGAGATGTTGTAATCCTGGTTTATAGACTTTTCAGCCTCTCTTGCTGCTTGTGGTATTTCTCTGTCCACCCTCCTCTGTCTGTCTGTCTGTCTGTCTGTCTGTCTGTCTGCCTGCCTGTCTGCCTGCCTGCCTGTCTGTCTCTTTATCTTTGTCCCCGGGACCACTGGGTGGGGCTGTGACAGGGAGGAGCAGGAGAGCTGAAGGTGAGAATTCCTCTTCCAGGCCTGGAGACACTCATTTGGGAGCAGGAGCTCTAGCTGAGCTGAGAGACCAGGTGAGTGACAAGCCTGTGGAGGAGCAGAGCCTTCAGTGGGAGTCCCAGAGTGTCTGCACCCCTAGGTCTGGGGGACTGTGTCTGGGCAGGAAGCAGTGAACTAGTTGCCCGAGGCCACAGGGAGTCTGACTTTGGGCATGCTGTGATGCGATGCTACCGGTCCCCTCACTATCCACACCATGAAATTGCTCAGGGACAAGCCTGAGTAGCAGGAGAGTCCACCGATGGGGAACTGGCCTTGAGCAGTGGGTGAAAGAGGCGGGCCATCTGCCTGCCAGGGGAGGGCGGTCGGTTCCCAGAGGCAGGAAGGGTGAGTGGATGGATCTGGAACTAACGGTCACAGGTTGGGGGTGCCTGCTCGCAGTCAGCCAGGGCCAGCACAGGAAGCCTGAGTTCTCTCGAGAGGGAGAAGTCACCGAGGCTGGGATTGGGGCTGAGCAGGGCCTGTGGTGTGCAAGATGTGGGCTATCAGTGTGGAGCCCAGCTGTCTCCCAGGTGTGAAGGGCTACGAGGAGCCAGGCTTTGGGGCCGTGCACACAGGTATGTGTGTGCAAAGAGACGTGACGGAATGGCACCAGGGTGTGCAGGGGTGGGTGCTGGTATGTGGTACGGGCTGGGTCCCTCTTGGGCTGGCTTGGGGGTGAAGGTGCCTGAGTGGAACCTAGCAGTGTGTGGAGGTGGGCAGGATTTCTGGAGTGCCTCCTAGAATCAGAGTGGGCTTCTGTCTGACCTGCCCAGCTTTGAGAAGAGAGTTAAGACTGGACTTTCTCGCCCCTTGAAGACAGAGCCCAGGATATGCTCAAGGGCACCCAAGTACGGTGAAGCCCCTCCCCTCCCCCCAGCCTGCTCCAGCTTGCCCCAGCCTGGACAGCCTGTAGAAGAGACCTACAGAGATCGCGGAGGGGAAAAAGTTGTCTCTGGTGTCACTGAACCATTCCTAGCAAACAGACTAGAGGTGGAAGGGCACCTTGGGGGTGGAGCTGTCCTTTTGGATTTGTTGTTGTTTTTGTTTTTGTGAGACAGGTTCTGATTATGTAGCTGGTCTGGCCTGGAATTTAACCATCCTGCCTCTTCCCGGAGTTCTGGAAATCTCAGGCATGTGCTACCATAATACTGGCCCTTGTGCTTTTACAAGTAATAAAAACAAAAAAGAAAAGAGGACTCTGTGCAGCTTGTTTTTATGGCTATCATTCTCCTGGACATTTTTTTTCCCTGAGTGTAACTTAAATGTCCAGAGCTGTATTTTTTTTTCTCCCTGAGTCTAACTTCAGTGTCCAGTGCTGTGGTTTAGCCTCTTTCCCTCCACTCACTGTGGCTCTAGGCTCTTTCTCTATTTTCGTGCCTCTGTGTTCATTCTCCTGCCTCAGTTTTCCATTCGTACCTATGATACAGGCTCCTCTCAAAAATCTCTTGAAGAATTTTTATTTGCTGATTTTTATGTGTCTGGATGCTTTGTCTGCATGCATGTCTGAACATTACATGCATGTCTGGTGCCTGAGAAGAGGGATTCCCTAGGACTGAGGCTATAGACAGTTATAAGTCACCTTGTGGGAGCTGGGAATTAAACCCTGGTCCTCTGGAAGAGCAGCCAATGCTCTTAACAGCTGAGCCATCTCTCCAGCACCAATCTTCTATTTACAGAGAATTCACGCCCATGGCCATCCATCATGTTAGGTTTGCTTTTTTCCTTCTCATCCTTGATGAAGCTCAACCTCGGGCCTAGACTGGGTTCTGGGCTGGCTTCCTGACCCCGCCGTCCTCCAGCACTCCATTCGTTCCTTCAATCAGGTCTTCCCCTCTAACTCGTGGGATCATCTGCATCTTGCAATAGCTGCCAGGGGTCTGGAGAGTGTGGGGGTTGTCTTCTGCCAGCTCCCTGGGGGTTCCTTGTGTGTGGGGTTCACTCTGAGCCCAGCTAGTCCATGGCTTGGCAAGCAACAACAGCCTGTTAGTAGCCTTTTACACAACTCTTCACCTGTCATTCTCTCTTCTAGATTTCAGGCTCAGGGATGAGGAGTTATTTGTAATGCGGGTCCAACAGTATAGTAACTCAGAGACTGTCAGGACGCGATCTGATAGTGGATATAAGAATGTCTTTAGTCCCAAGGTGATCAAATGTTAACCTTTCGTTGTTGTAATTAGCAAATCTGGGTGAACTTGGTTTCCTGCCTGGTGCTTCTGCAGCAGCATTTTCGGCTCATTCATTAGCCCTTGGTTTGTTTGTCATTTGTCATTTGGAAATGATTCAATGGCCACTCCGCAGGGTGCCAGAGATTCAGTTCTATCTGGGTTCAGGCCTCACTGACTGCTCCCCTGGGACTGAGCACCTGTGACTCCGGTTCTGCAGCCTGGGGCCCCTCCCTCCTTCTCCCTTGTGTCTGAGGCCAGTGCCCTGAGTTTACACCAGCTACTCTCCTTATCCCTCTCCTGCATGGAACTTGTAGTTAGAAACTCTGAGTATATCCCAATTCCAGAACCTCGCCCTGCCATGCCTTCTCATTCCTGGGATGGCCTGCACCCTCCAAGTCACCTTCAAAATTTTCCACAACCCTAGCTGGCTCCTGCCCACGCCTTTCTAACGGACTTGGGCTTGGGCTGTTGCCTGGGTTAAAAGGACCAACAAATAAACACAGAGTTTTCCTTCATAAAAAGACGCGCTTGTGCTTCCTTAGAGCCCTGGAGGAGTATGGAGTGCGTGGTGGTAGACCTGGTCATGTGATTCCCTGAGTGTTCCCTGGAGGGGGATCAATGGACAGTGCTCCCTGACAGTCCAGGCACCTCCTCCTAGGCATTTCCCTGGGAGGAGGGGCCAGTAGTGGCCTCAGCACGATCGGCTGTGTGGAGGGAGGGACGAGAAGGCAAACATAGATTCCAAACGCAATTTGCCTCCTGGCCATTGACAAATAGACAGCAGGGACAGAAAACAGACCCTGGCCTATGGAAGCTTGGGGAGTGCTGGACTTTCCAGAGGTCAGGGGGAAGGGAATGGCAACAGCCACGAAGGGCAGCTCCTGCCAGACTGTCCTTGTAAGAGCCTGGCATTCGGCACTTTGAGGTCATCTTGGAATGACCACCATCCAAGTGACCACCCGCCAGCCCCAGGATCCCCAACCTTTTTCAGGGCAGACATACAAAGAAACAGCTTCCCTTGAAGTCCTAAAGCTGGCGCTAATGCCAACCCTGTCCTCAGCTGGTCTTACTTAGAGACCCCACCTTCTCCCTCCCTCCCAATCAGAGCCCAAAATGAATAATCTCCCATGTTTACCAGGCCTCCATTGATCCCAACTGCTCAGGAAAGCCCAATGAGCCACCTCAGCCACACCTGCCCTTTAACCCCGGCACCCTGGCAGCCAGCCTGTGAGCCCTTGTGGTCTGGAGGCCAGAGGCCAGAGGCCAGGTTGCTGTTCTTCACAGTATACTGAAGATCTGGACAGAAGGGCCAGCAGGGATGGTGTCGGGTTATAAAAATCAAAAAGGAATTTGAGCTATAAGGTCCTCAGTGATGGGGTTTTAGTCATAGCTCTACACCTGGGTGGGGTTGGGCAACTCTCTGACCCCTGAAAACCTGCTTCGTTCATTGCTTTGACTGCCGAAGACTTGGCAAGCTAGAGTCTGCTTCCGTTTGGCTCAGCCTCATAAATCTGAGAGCAGAGTGTCACTTTAGGTAGAAATGGCATCAAGAGCTTGGGAAGAAAGGTAATATGCCAATAGGAAAGACTGGTGGGAAGGTCAGGGTGAAGGGTGTTGGTGTATAGGGGGTGTGTGTGTGGATGTGCAGTCCCTCTTCTCCCCAACCTGGTTTCCGCCTCTCACAATCCTGTCTTCCCTTACAGGGTCTCCCTATCCAGTATGGACAGAAAAGTTGCAGTCCATGAAGATGGGTGTCCTGTGGTCTCTTGGGTCCCTGAGGAGGGAGAGAAAAGCAAGGACCAGGTGGAGGATCGAGGCCAATGGACCAACAAGATGGAGTTTGTGCTGTCAGTGGCTGGGGAGATCATTGGGCTAGGAAATGTCTGGAGGTTTCCCTATCTCTGCTACAAGAATGGAGGTGGTGAGTTTGTGTTCAGTGGTGTGATGGGGAGTGTTGTGTCCTGTCAGCAGGACCACCCTGGAAGTGTGGTCAAACGGAACGGGGGCTGCCGTGAATCTGGAAGGCTCTTGTTGGGTCCCAGCTCCATCTCTAGTCTCAGGTCCCTCCTTCTGACCTGGGGGTGATATATTATCCAGGACTGTGTGAGATTTAAGAGAGACAAGAGAAGAAACATAGGGCTTGGGTTCTTAACTTCTGCATTACTTCTGACGGATGATAGTGACTAATAGGATTCATTCATTCATTAACTCATTCATCCAACTCCCATGACTGCAGGCCTCTCATGAGCCAAGGCTCTGTTCTAGATGAAAGCCAGAACTTGGTCTGTGTGTTGCATTCTGATGAAGCCTGCAGATCACAGGCAAGAAACACGTGTGGCATGTCACGGTGACAAGCTGAGTAACGAGGAAAGTAAGGAAAAGGGAGAGGGACTTGGACAAACATCTGAGATGTGAAGAATGTGGAGGAGGGATTGTCTGTGACCAATGGGATTCATTCTTGGATCTTGGTTCTTCTTGCAGAAGTGACATATTCTCATTGTAATATCAGAACTGTCCCAGGAGAGGAAACACATTAGAGATAATCATTGTTTAGAAGCGTCTTCTAAACCCTATTTACATTTAAACTGATAAATATCTAGCAGGTGTGTCCAACCCTTTGACACAGGTTAGGCACTGATGGAAGCAACCCCTTTGTGGGTCAAAAATAGGTTTTTAAAAATTGCATCTGTACTAAGAGCACACAGCCTTTTCATAGCATTGACAGTACAGCCTAACGTCTTAAAGAGAGTTGGAAGCTGTGACTGGGTCCTGTATCTAGACTGTGCTGTTTTACATAAGGGGCTCGAGCATGGTGGGGTCTGGCATCCAAATGGCTTTAGAAACATTCTAGAAACATATCAGAGGCTGCCTATGCCTGGGCACACTGGCTGCCACCTCGCCTTTCTTTCCCCCGTCTTTAACATGGGGGATTGAATGAGGCTGTGGCTTCCACCTTGGAGTTACCAGTTTTTGGAGGTTCTAGAAAACTAATAAGAACAATCACGACTTAGTTCTTTTCTTACTCTAGACAACCTGGGAATAGATTTAAATGGGAGCATGATGTCACAGATTAAGCCAAATGTCATCGTCTTGCTTTAGGCTAGAGTTGTTCTACTCCTCGTGATAAAAGGGTTCAATTCCCCCCTCCCACCCCCGACCACAGGCACTACTGGGTGGAAATTCACCTTTTATTAAGATAAACTGAGAGATTAGTTGATTATTGGGTAATAAGCACAGTCCTGCGGAGAAAGAGCTTCTGGGAGAGGAAGTCACTAAACTTAGCCATCCTTAAGAAATATCTCATCCCAGACAGAACCTTCTCTAAGTCTTTTTTGTGACTCTGTGCTTCAGGGAAGAGTCAGGGGCCAGGCCATTGCCTGAGGTAGATCTGAGTAGATGGAGGGAACATCTAAAATAACCTGCAGCTGAATTCCTGTGTTGGCTAAGGTCCCCAAGGACATTGTCAGTCTGGGTATGGACACAGCTGGGGACACACCATGAGGCTGTGGCCAGGCAGTGTCCCCAGGCTAGGATTAGATCAGCCCATTTGAGGAGAGGACTTTTGAAGTGCCAGTGTGCTGGAAGCTCAGGAGAGAGCCAAATGCAAGGGTTCCCTGCTCTATACCCAGAGCCAGCCTCCATCCAGCCCCAAGAAGGCCTGAGGAAGCCTTTCATCTTCTGTGGGGTGAAAGCCCACATTCCAGGGACACAGGAAAGGTGATCCCACACCTGGTAGGAAGGGACCTGTGGTCATATGCGCTCGTGGACTTCCTGTGAAGGTACCTCCTTCAAAGTATAGTGTATGCACAGAAGGGGCATTAGTTAGCTTTATTTATTCAAAAATTTTCTTTTAAATTATGCTAGTTTACACATGTGACTATTTGTCTGCGTGTATGCATGTGTGCCTCTGGTACACACAGAGGTCAGAAGAGTGTGCTGGGTCCCTGGAACTGGACTTGTGGATGCTGGGAACTGAACCACTGCAAGATATCTCTTAATAGCTGAGCTATCTCTCCAGTCCCATTAGCGGGTCTTTAAAGGGGAATTATGATGCATGCTATAACATCGATGAATTTGAAGACATGATGAATGAAACAAATATCACAGTGCAAATGCTACGGTCCCATCCATGTGTTATGTGTGAGGCGCCCAGAGTAGGGAAATTCATAGAAGCAAAAAGTAGAATATCATTGACAGGGCCAAAGTGGGGGAGTTCAGGTTTGGTGCCTTCGGAGCCTCATTCTGGGAAGATGAAAAAGCTCTGGAGGCGGATGTACACCATTGAGAACACCTTGATGCCACGGGATTGTACACTGAACAAAAAATAGATATGCTTTTGTTGTGTAGACTTTAATATGCACATACACACCAAGAAAAGAGGAACCCTCAGCAATTGTGCCTAAGGAGATGCGCACTAAGGAGCAAACTGAACAAGTACATCAGGATCTGGGTGATTTTTCACTCTGATCAAAAACTGAGGTCATACTAAAAGTTCAGTGATAAAATACTAAAAAAAAAATACCATTCGCACACCAGAACATTCTATGGGCACTGAAATGGTGTCAAGTACTTATTGACATGAAGAGGTTTGTGATATGAATTTTAAAATGGTGTTCAAATAACATATAGCACATTGCTTTTGTGAAGAAGAAATGTATATGCTTACAAGAAATCTGGAGGGAGAACCTGTTATCCGGGTACTCAGATTGCTGAGGCAGGAGCATCGTAGGATCAAGGTCAGATGGGTGACATAGTGAGACCCTTGTCTAGCAAAACAGGACCAAGCAGATTCTGAAAGAATAGTCAGAGAGTGTGAGGTCCTGTGTCATTGTTCTAGCATGGTACCCACCAACAAAAGGATGGGAAGGTAGGGAGGGAGAGGGAGAAGGAGGGATGGAGATGGAGGAGGGGAGGGAGCTTGGGAGGAGGCTTCTGGAAGGCTGTACAACGCTCTGTGCTTTCTTTCCTTTTGCACTCCCTGGCTTTCCTCCTCAGCAGCAGGATGACTTGACTTGGGAGGCGTACAGCATAGCCACATGTAATGGTCAGGAGTCAGGATGTCTCAGGGTCTGGATGCCTGGTGTGGTGTGTTCATTTTCTCACCTACACCTTAGTTCTTGTGTTTTCAATCTGCGCTGGGCTTTCCTACCTGTAAAGGATGACAGCAGCATCTACCTGGTGGTAGGTTGATTTGTGAGGGTTTGATGCTGCTGAGTCTTAGGAGAGGGTCGGGCACAGGAAGCTCAAGGGAGTGCTGCTAAGCTGCAGACAAAGAACCCTCTCCCCTGAGGGACCTCTGGGCTGAGACAGGACCTTAGCCCAGCTCCACAGTCCCTGTAGGGCTTGCTGCAGGGCGGGCAGGCAGACCAAAAAGACCCTAAGAAAGGAGAAAAGGCCTCTGAAAACTATCAGTGAGAAAAGAATGCTTCCAAGCTGGTTGTGTCTGTTTGTTTCTAAAATGTAGCATCTCGATGGTTTAAGAAGCATGTCAGCTGGGTGTTGGTGGCCCACACCTTTAGTCCCAGCACTTGGGAGGCAGAGGCAGGCAGATATCTGTGAGTTTGAGACCAGCCTGGTCTACAAGAGCTAGTTCCAGGGCAGCCTCCAAAGCCACAGAGAAACCCTGTCTCAAAAAACAAAGAAGCATGTCAATTTATACAGAACACATGCTTTTCTTTCAAAACTAACATGGGATTTGATTTGTAAAACACAGTAAATCGTTCATTTATTGGTGCTACCATCTTGGGATTTATTCCTTTCCCTCCAAACACTTTGCCTGCCTTACTCGGGGCTCACGTCATGTGTTGGGTGTCCGTGACAGCCTGCAGCTAGGCAAAGAGAGACACTGTGGGTCTTGGGTGTGTCAGGAAGGAGGCTGAGGGTCGAGACGCTGGAGGGGAGCTCAAGGTCTTGAAGCAGCCAGTGACTCAGACTCTGCCTTTCTTTCCATCAGGAGCGTTCTTCATCCCCTACTTCATCTTCTTCTTCAGCTGTGGCATCCCGGTGTTCTTCCTGGAGGTGGCACTGGGCCAGTATAGCAGCCAGGGGAGTGTTACCGCTTGGAGGAAGATCTGTCCCCTCCTCCAAGGTGAGTGTCACCCTTCCCCTTTTCCGCCTTCAGAGTCACCATCCTGCCTGCCTCTCTTGTTGTCACTGCTCTTGCCCTCCTGTGCCCAGCCCTACTCTCCCCGGCATCCTCTTCTGGGATTTGTGAAATCAGCCCCTTGAAGCCCAAAGCTTAGATGCCCAGGGAGAAGAACGTGTCCAGAGAATCAGTACAGAATTACAGGCACCAAATCAGGCGTGGATATTGGAAGATGCAGCCTTAACCTTCATGTGCCCCAGGGAAAGTATGTCTCTGACTCCATGTCATGACCCAAACAGGCTTCAAGGGACACAAGCACAGTAATGCTGATGATGGTGACACTGTGTCAGTGTTCGTGTGAGCGCTTTACGTGCGACCCAAGTCTCTCATCACTCCATTGACCTCTACAGAAAAAGACAGTGGGGCCACCTGCTGAGAGTTTGAACCACGGCTCTCTGTGCTCGTCTCTTCTTGCCTCTGTTAGGGGCAGCCTGCTCTTCTCTGTAGATCTGTGGTGTGGACACATGCTGCTGGGGTGGTTTTCGCCAGTCTCCTTTAGTGGCTTGGCCAAACCCTGAGCTGCCATGGAGGGCCCAAGGGCCTCCTTTCTGAGACATCCCTTATACCTCAGATGCAGAGAGGGTTCTTTCTTCATGCTAGCACCGGAAGGACCACCAGGGACCGGGCTACTGGGTTATTTGGTCCAAGAAGGGACCAGACTGAGTGTCTGATGAGCACTGGGTACCCCAGCTCCTGAGAAGTCTGCCTGACCAAACACTGGGGAAAGGTGAGGATGGTTGGGAGCTGCACCTCTTGGGGCACCAGCTGGTGTCTTGTGGCATCCAGGAGACCCTTAGTGGGGCTCCTGCCCAGCAAAGCATTGCAGCTAATGTCGCTGTGAGAATTCCCCCAGCTCGTTTCCATCCAGCATTGCAAAGCATTGCAGCTAATGTCGCTGTGAGAATTCCCCCAGCTCTTTTCCACTGAGGAGAGCAAGTTCTTCCAATGTCACTCTCCCCCACTGGCTTCTGATGCTCTTGCTGAGCTCGCCCTTTCTCCTGCTTAGCCACTTTTCAATTTACAAGTAATAAATGATGGTGATAGAAAACTAGGAAATGCAGATGGGCAGAAATAGAGGTAGAGACGGGGATAATGACAGAGACGGAGGGAAAGGGGAAGAATGTTATCACTGCAATGGGAGGATATGTAAGATAATGAATGATATGAAGTTTGGTGGAGGGGGACACGTGACTGGCAGACCCCATGTGACTTTTCCTTTTTCTTTTTTGCTCATGCTGGTCTCTTTGACTCTCTTTGCTCCTGAAGGCATTGGCATGGCGTCTGTGGTCATTGAGTCTTACTTGAACATCTACTACATCATCATCCTTGCCTGGGCTCTCTTCTACCTGTTCAGCTCCTTCACCTGGGAGCTGCCCTGGACAACCTGCAGCAACCCCTGGAACACAGGTATCCGCATGTCAGCTCCACCCCTGGGCCTTGGTGGCTCCACGACAGAGTACATCATAGACCTGGACTTATAGTTGAGCTATGCAGTCTGCGCTGTCAATTCTACTGGCTGGTCCTTCTGGGTAGCTACAGACCCCTGGAGGAATCAATGCGGCTGTTATATGACCACAGCAGGCCTCTGTTTAGCAAATGTTCTCGGGCACCTCTCATGTGTCAAACACTGCCAAAACCCAGTAAGGACTGATAAGACCCCACACTGTCTGACCTGGCTATGGTGGGGACTAGATGAATCATCAAAACAGACTTCTTGATGGGTGGGGAAGACAGCATAGCAATTACAGAGAATGGAAGAGGAAAGAGCTGTCTTGAGACCAGTACTGGGGGATTATTCCAGGGACTGATTTATTTTTTGTCTGTAGGATGAAAAATTAGAGTGGCACAATGGGCAGGCCAATGGTGGGCTATTGATGGGAGCTGCCCATGTGGATGGTGCATGTCTGTGCTCTGCATTGTTCTGGAGGATGTCAGTCAGGGCATTCATGCGAGTAGCCAGACTCACTGGAACAAGTGCAGCGGACACAGGCGATACAGGGAAGAGGAGCCAGTCCCACTGATAATCCTGGCTCCTAAGGAAACCCTTGGGCTTAGAAATGGTAGGAAGCTCTCGTTGCAAGGTCAGCATGAGGGCATCTTTCCTCATCTGGTCCCCAACTGATACTCATCCCATCCTTGTCCCCAACAGAACATTGCGTGGACTTTCTGAACCACTCGGCAGCCACAGCAGTGAACCACTCTGAGAACTTCACCTCACCTGTCATGGAATTCTGGGAGTAGGTCCTGGGCCTGGTTGCGATATTCCAGGGGCCCTAAGCACAGGGAGCCTGGATGTCTGGATGGTGCAAGCTTGAACATTGGTGGTGCATGCGTAAGACAGTGCATGCTTTCTAGCACCACGCATGGTCTTCCCCCAGACCGACATCATTTAGAGATAAGGGAGCCTTCGTACTCAGCCTTGACTGCCTGTCTACACCTTCATACTTACCATGAGATTCTGGATGTTGATGCATGCCTAAGACTCTGTGTGTGCTTTCTAACATGACTTATTTTTTGTCCCCCAAGGTCCACATCACTGAGGGGTAGGGGGCCTTCACATTCAGCCTTGATTTCCTATCTATACCCTCTCTTACCCCCAAGCCTTCACATGTCTGTACAAACTTGGATTTTCCCACGTGCCTCCACTCATTCTCATGGCTGTCCCCCTATGCCATCCCCACACCCCAGCGGTACCCTCACATCTGTGGACATCTGTTCACAGGGTGATAGAGACCATCTTTATTATCTCCTGGCAGCCAACTGTGTGTGTCTCTTCCAAACTGGGTGTGCTGGTATCAGGTTGGTAGCTTGACACCGACTGGTGTTTGCACCACGGAAATGTGCCCACCGTTCTCCCTCCTGCGTGACCATGCACACCCCCACCTCCACAGGCCACATATGCTTCCCAGCTTTCCCTCCTGGTCTACCTCGCCCTCACACAGATTCACCCTGCACACATTCAGCGCTCACCTGCCTACCCATGCCCGCTCACCTGCCCTTTGGGGGTTGTCTGAGCTCTCTCCATGCCCGCTCACCTGCCCTTTGGGGGTTATCTGAGCCCTCTCCTCTGCACACACATCTCCACCCCGATCTTTAGACGGCAGCATCCCTCCCTTTGATCCCCCGCCACTGCTGGCCGTGTGTCTATTCTCCATCACTCACTCCAGGTTTCAACACTTCCACTTAGAAAGGCACAGACACCTTGGGATTACAGTTTTGGTCCTCTAACAGCCAGGGGCACTCAGACCACAGGTGGGAACATGGCATGGCCATAGAGAGGTTGGGGACGTCAGGGGTGTAGAAGTCCTGGGGAATGTTATTTGTTGGGTCAGCTCTGAATCAGGGATTTGGTGACACAGGCAGATTGTCCCCTTTGGTCTTCCAACTGGTTACTTATTTTTTCCCAATCCCGTAGGAGACGGGTTCTGGGTATTACATCGGGCATCCATGACCTGGGGTCCCTGCGCTGGGAGTTGGCCTTGTGTCTCCTGCTCGCCTGGGTCATCTGCTACTTCTGCATCTGGAAGGGGGTCAAGACCACGGGCAAGGTAAGGTATCCTGGTTCCTGATGAGCACTTAGTCACAGAGTGCCCAGAGACACTTGAAAGAACCCCTTAGGACAGCAGAAAGAAAGAGCACAGTTTGAGAGAACTACATATAAGAATAGATGAAGTTGCAGGAACATAGTATTTAGTTCAATACAAGGGGAGACTTTTTCCCCAATAGGGTTCAAAAGACCTGTTTATCTAAGCAACATTGAGAGCAAAAGAAACCATAAGAATCTCACTTTTGGAGCTCATCTGTGGGGTGGAGTGTCCCCTACTCTTCTTTGCATGGGTGCATCCATGTATCTGTCTCCATTGTGTACGACAGGGTCACACATTCTTATGACTTGCCTGTTGTATTTAAATGACACACGAAGAAGAGTTTCCATACACATTAGAAAACAGAGCCATCTTGGGGTAAGTGCCAATCAGTGAAGGGGCTTAAGCTAAGAATGTGCATCAGCAGGCTTGTTCTATAGTGAGATTTCAGACCTGGACATCGTTTCCAGTCTGGAGAACTGGGACTGATGTCGCACACTTTTCACAATCAAGAGTGGCAGGTTGTGAATGTTCTGATTGCCCTTACGCCTGGACTGATGTCTTAAGGGAGGACAGGTTGACTTCAGCGTGGAGTTTGAGAGAGTGCAGTCAAGGTGGACAATGTGGCTCACGACTGTGGTGGCAGGGACCAGAGGCTGCTGTTCATACAAGATGCTGACCAGGAAGCCGAGGGTTTGGGTGGGAAGCAGAGCTGGATTGTAACGATGCCCATCCCACAGCCAAGGCCCTTGTCCAAAAGTTCCAGAACGTCTCAGTATAGCACCACTAGTTGGGAATCAAGTGTTCAAACACATGGGCCCACCTAGAACTTTCACAACTAAGTGGCGATAATCCTTATTCCTCAGGCTGTGCTCAGGAAAAGGGTAACGACAGTAAAGATAGTGATGGTGGTGGCCATGATGCCCAGACAGATGGTCAGGGCAGTGTGGAGTCCCTTTGGAGTCTCTAGGACTCTCAGGACACTGCTTCTGCCCTGACCATGACTGGAAAAGTACAGCAGGAATTGCCCTCAGATTGCCAGACAAACCTGAACACCTTCCTCCTGGAGCACCTTCCTCCTGGAGAGGCACCCATGCTCAGGGTTTTGGGGAGGGTACCCAGGATGGTGGATGGAGGGGGCCAGGTTCTGGACTTAAATCTTTGGAAGGTCATGGGCTGGGAGCTTCTTCCTCTCTGTGTTCCCCACGGGTACTCTCCCCTCCTCCCCTCCCTGCTGATGTATATCACACCCTGCTGGGGAGTAAGAGCCACCGGAATGTGTAAAGAGAGGTGTGGAAAGTTTCATGTGCTCACTGGCAGCTGTCTGTATGAAATCTGAGGTCTGAGCTCCTGTGAGGAATGTGATGGTGTGATCTGCTCTGCCTGGGGACAGGTGGAGGCAGGGCAGGGTGACCACTGGAGACTCATGCCTCCCCCTGCCTCCCCCACTCCTCCCCTGCCTCCCCCATTCCTCTCCCTGCCTCCCCTCTGCCTTCCCCTCCACCACCCCTCATCCTTCCCCTGCCTCCCTCCTGCCCTCTACCCCGCCTTCCCCACTTCCCCCTGCCTGCCCCCACCTCCTCCCCAGCCTCTCCCCTGCCTCTGCGTACCCATGCCAGGAGTGACTTTGGCCTGCTTTTCCCTCCAGGTTGTTTATTTCACAGCCACTTTCCCCTACCTGATGTTGGTTATTCTCCTGATCCGGGGTGTCACCCTTCCTGGAGCCTACCAGGGTATCATCTTCTATCTGAAGCCGGACTTGCTGCGCCTCAAGGACCCCCAGGTGGGAACCACCAGGGGCCTGCTAGCTGAGATGTGGTTTTACTAGACTCTACTCTACTTTCAAAGCCTTCTATCAGTTTCATTTGGTTTAAAGGAAACAGCTGTGTACTGGAGTACAGCTAGGTATCTTAGAAGAAAACCGTGGAAGAGGGATGGAGGTCCTTGAAGTCCCACCAGCTCCATTAGCCTTTCAGACTACGTCCTCTCGTCCCTCCAGGTGGTTCGCATGAGCAAACACAACTGAGATAATTTCATCTGGAGACATAGATCCTTTCCACGTCCGTAAATTCACCTTTAGATGTTACCTCAGCATCTGTATAACATTCCCTCCAAACACAATTTATTCAACAAAAATATCCCCAGGGCCTCTTACAGCTGGGGATAGAACAGTGGCGGAAACAGACCGTATCCATGCCCCGCTGAACCCTGAACCCTGGCCTCAGATACGGAGGTGATGGCTACTTTTAAATAGACATAGTCTATGGTAGGTGATGGCTACTTTTAAATAGACATAGTCTATGGTATTGAAGGCTGACTGCCCATGACACTGTGCCCACAGATCTCTTGTTAGAAATGGTGCAGTATTTGTGTCTGATCCAAGCTCATCCTACCACACACATTAAATTGTCTCTAGATTTCTTATAACACCATAATGTCAGCTTTATATACATAGTTGTTCTATTGTGTCCATACAGGGAGCAGTGCTAAGAAAAAAGTTGGCTCTTGTTAGGACAGGCACAATTATTTTTCTGAATATTTTTGCATCTGAAGGTTGGTTGCTCCCCACCGACTCTGGTGTGTCTGTCACAGGCTTGGGATGTAGGCTGCCTGGCCAGGAAGCTCCTGGGATCTGCACTGTGCTTACAAGTACATACCCCATGCCTGACTTTTTAGCCTGGTTGTAGGGATCCAACTCAGCATCTCAGGCCAGTACTATAACCCCAGCCCCAGTTAAGATGTAGTTTACTCTTTGGTAACTTTGTAGTCACTTATCACTTCATGGTTTATTTTATTGTTCACTACGCGTGGGGCTGGGCATTTTCTTATGAATGCATTGGTCATTTGCATTTCCTCCTCTAGGACTTGCCTGAGCACATTTCTTTTTTCTTTTTTTTTTTTTTTTTGCTTCCACCAAGAAGTCTTGGTGGATTTCTTTATATTTTTATGAGGTGGGCTGTGTGCCAGGTCACAGTTCTAGAAGGAATGCCAGGGATGCTTCGCCTTACCAAGTTCGAGTACACCTGGGTCTGTAGCTCCAAGTCTGTTGGTGCTTCCTGAGTGCTCACAGAGCCAGACTGGAAATGGGCCCTGCCCGTGAGAAGGTGCTGTGGAGAAGGGCGAGGAGAGGTTACCGGGAAGCAGGATGCAGGCTTGGTGCTTTGTGGGATGTGCCGCGGTGAGGGGCTGCGTGCTGCTGGCCACAGCTCTAGGCCCTAGTTGCCTCTACTGCCTTCTTGGGTCTCACACAGGTGTGGATGGATGCGGGCACCCAGATCTTCTTCTCCTTTGCCATCTGCCAGGGGTGCCTGACAGCCTTGGGCAGCTACAACAAGTACCACAACAACTGCTACAGGTGAGAGGTGCTGGGTGGGCAGGCAAGGGCAGCTCTGTCTCTCGGGGAGCCAGGAATGCCTGTGTGGACACCTTCCCAAGACCCAGTTTCTTTCACCCCTCTCCTGGTTCCCTCTTCCCCTGATAGCTCGTGGGTTTTTTGTTTGTTTGTTTGTTTGTTTTTCCATATTGCATTCCTTGCTTTCCCATTTTCTTCTGGGTCTCTCCATCTTTCTTCCTCATATTTGTCTTTTACCTTCTGTCTTTTGATCTCTCCTTTTCTCTTCTCCCTTCTCTTCCCCTTCTACAAGTTACCAAAGTTATCTGACCCCTTTTTCCCCACAGGGACTCCATCGCCCTCTGCTTCCTGAACAGTGCCACAAGCTTCGTGGCTGGCTTTGTCGTCTTCTCCATCCTGGGCTTCATGTCTCAAGAGCAGGGCGTGCCCATTTCTGAAGTGGCTGAGTCAGGTAGGGGACTCTGGGCAGGAGAGTCAGAAAACACAGATCCCTCCTGCAGAGAGGGCCTTTTTAGCTTGGGGTAGGAGGATTGTGTGGCATTACTAAATCTTCTAGAACTGTGCGATAGAAGAGAGGAAAGGAGGAGAGGGAGAGAGAGGGAGGGAGGGAGGAAGGGAAGAGGAAAGGAGGGAGGGAGGGAAGGAGAGAGACACACAGAGAGGGGGGAGAGAGGGAGGGAGGTAGAGAATGTAAGCATACAGGGGAGAGATCAATGGCATAGAATGAACTTACCTTCTTAAAACAGCCCCACCCTCATGCCTGCACACAGAGATCACAGATACTCTACATGCCCACAAGTGCCCATAGGCACACATAGGTGTTCACAGCATGTACTCATGTGGACACTCAAAAACGTTCAAGACTCATACAGATGTTCACAGATACTCAGAGACACACATGCACATCACAGAACTACATATTCACAGACACTCAGAGGCCACAGACACACAGATAAAGATACAGAGACACTTGCAGATCACAGACATACACACTCACAGACACTCACAGGCACTCAGAGTACACAGATGTGCACATTCACAGATACCGACACAGAGACACATAAAGATCACAGACATACACACTCACAAGCACTCAGAGGACACAGAAGGCACAGACGTGCACATTCACAGATGCTCACAGAAGGCACAGACGTGCACATTCACAGATGCTCACAGAAGGCACAGACGTGCACATTCACAGATGCTCACAGAAGGCACAGACGTGCACATTCACAGATGCTCACAGAAGGCACAGACGTGCACATTCACAGATGCTCACAGAAGGCACAGACGTGCACATTCACAGATGCTCACAGAAGGCACAGATGTGCACATTCACAGATGCTCACAGAAGGCACAGACGTGCACATTCACAGATGCTCACAGAAGGCACAGATGTGCACATTCACAGATGCTCACAGAAGGCACAGACGTGCACATTCACAGATGCTCACAGAAGGCACAGACGTGCACATTCACAGATGCTCACAGAAGGCACAGACGTGCACATTCACAGATGCTCACAGAAGGCACGGTTGTATTTAGTCATCCACAAAGAATCATATGTATAAATTTACACACACACATACACACACACACGTACGCACACTCAGGCATTGGTAAATGAACACAGAAGAACATAAAAATCATGGAAGTCCACATTCATAGACGCTCACAGAGACACACAGATCCTCACATAAACTCACGGCATACACAGACATTAATAGATGCACACAGAAGCTAAGAGATGGGCATAGATTCTCATCAACCCTACGGCTGTTCATAGACACAGACGTTTGTAGCAGACACTCACAGCTGCCCACGAAACGTCACAGAGGCCCACAAAAAGGCTTGCAGGTAATTCTTACACACACACACACACACACATACACACACACACACACACACGTTTCCAGACACAGAAGCACGCACAGAAGTTCACAGACACATATAGACAGTAACAGCAGCACACAGACTCTCACAGACACTCATTGCCACTCACAGGCATGTCAAGATGCATGCAGCTGTCCCCAGGAACTCCTGGGTGCACACAGTGCTAAGGAGAGGACTACTCTTCAGGTAGGGAGTGGTCTGAAGTCCATCCAACTGTATTGTGTGCCTGGCAGGTCCTGGTCTGGCCTTCATTGCCTTCCCCAAAGCCGTGACGATGATGCCTTTGTCCCAGCTGTGGTCCTGTCTTTTCTTCATCATGCTCCTATTTCTAGGACTGGACAGCCAGGTATGGAACCCTCATCCTGGGTCCCCGTTTTATCTTCTGCTCCTCTTGGTAGCACTTTTCCTCATGCACCTTCTCCCTGACTGTGGGTCAGAGGCCTCACTCTGGTTCAAGTCTTTTGCCTGGGATGCTGATGGGTGGTCCCAGGGCTCCAGAGCTCCTGCTGTGAAAGAACTTGCCACTTTGCTCTCAGGGTTAAGCCTCCTCAGTACATGGGCACTCTCTCAGATACTCTATAGAAGCTCATCCCTAGCCTCACGGGCCAGCCCCATCCTTCTCCCTGATTCCCTACTGGGATTTCTTGATATGAAGTTGTAGCTGAGGGAATGGCTGGCTCGCCACTGACCCGTGCCCTGGCTGCACAGCTGTCTCACCCTACTACTCTCGTGACCCACAGTTTGTCTGCATGGAGTGCCTGGTGACTGCCTCCATGGACATGTTCCCCCAGCAGCTCCGGAAGAGCGGGAGGCGTGAGCTGCTGATCCTGGCTGTTGCCATCGTGTGCTACTTGATGGGGCTCCTGCTTGTCACAGAGGTGAGAGGGCAGCTTGGGACTGCTGACTCTTCAGAACCATCCCTTCCCTTCCCTCTGTCCAGGGACTTACACCCCCTTTGCCCCCTCATGGTGAGGTTGAAGCTCCCAGTCTCTAGACTGGTGCTGGTGATGGGAGCCATACAGACAGTGCCCTAAGACAAAAGAGAGTGAATGGGGTCAGGTGACAGCAAAGTCTGGAGCTATTTTGGCTTCCATCAAACGCATGAATCGAGCTGCAACACTGTCCGGCATGTTCCTTTATGTGTCCTATCTCCCTTTTCTCAGGCCACTGGGCCCCCAGGAAGATTTCCCTTGGTGATAACAAAGAAGACTGTGTCTGATCTTGGTACCTTTCCCCATTCAGCCAATCAGGCTTTCTCTTGAGTTTGACAGGTGTTCAGGCTAAGACCCTTCCTTAGGCTTACAGCAGGAGAGGTCTGCCACAACCCAAAAGGAACAGACTGAGGGGTACCAATTACACCAAGAGGGGACACTGGGCAGATAATACACCACATGTCCCCCACCCCCAGCACCTTGCAGGTGTCAGAAATTAGTGTCCCAAGGCTGATGGTAGCTCCTGACCTCAGAACCAGGCAGAACAGACTCCTGGTAGCTGTCAAACATGTCTCCTGAGCAGGGCAGGCTAGCACACCTTACTGTGGGAGCAGGTGCTGGTCCTGCCCAGACCTCAGTTCTCTCCTCCTCCCCAGGGCGGGATGTACATCTTCCAGCTCTTTGACTACTACGCCTCCAGCGGCATATGCCTGCTCTTCCTCTCCTTGTTTGAGGTGATCTGCATCGGCTGGGTATATGGTGAGTGGGGCAGGAGGCTCAGGAGCAGGAGTAAGGCGCTCCAGGGCTGATGCGGGCAGGCTCTGTCCAGGAAGGGAGTCTTGGTCTGGATCTCCAGGGCTGATGCGGGCAGGCTCTGTCCAGGAAGGGAGTCTTGGTCTGGATCTCCAGGGCTGATGCGGGCAGGCTCTGTCCAGGAAGGGAGTCTTGGTCTAGATGCTCTAATTCTTTTTTCTAGGAATGTCAGACATGGCCTGGAGGCCCCATGTCTCTCTTAGAGTTAAAGCAAGGACAAAACAGACTTCAGTCATCAGCCGAATCCCAGTTAGAGGGGACATTTAGGGCTGTTTGGCCTGACACTCTCCCCAAACTCAACTTCAGATTCCTTCATTCCCTTTCTAACACCCAAGCCACTTTTCCAGGCTTTGTTGAATGCTGCATGGACAGTCCTCATACTTTAAAAGCAGCTTTTCCCATTGTTGCTGTTACCCATTGCTTTCTTACAGTGAGGTGAATTCTGTCGTGTCCTGACTTCCAGAGAAGGCGTGGGCCCCACAACGCTGAGATCACTCAATAGCAATCTCAGAGCCTCAGCGTTTAAGCCACTGGCATGCTTGGCAACCGCTGGGCTTCCGGGCACTGTGCTGAGCAGGCCACATGCCATTGCAAGATCTGCAAATCGGCCTCGTGCAGTGGAAGGAAGGCTGGGGGCAGATGCTGTTCTGCCTGAGCTCACACAGCTGCTAAATGGAGGCGCCATCTCATATCCAGATCTGCAGGCTCTGCCACAGACCAGGGACACAGTGCCAACAACGTCCCAAGGCTCAGAGCAGAGAGAATAAGTAGCCACCTCATATTAGTGGCTCAGAGGAAGCCTGAATAAGAGGGCTCTTACTTCACAACCCTGGTCTCCCTGTGGTGTCCTTTCCTGGCCTTGGAGCTGGCATCACCTTCCCCCCTAAGTGTTAGATAACCTACCTGATTGTTCCTTAACTCTTGTACTCAAAGGTCATAATGAGCTTAATCTAGGAGGAGGAGGAAGCCAATAGTTCACACCTCCTGGCAGTATTGGGCTTGGAACTTTGGCCTTTAGAAGTCAAAGCGGTGGCCCTCTAAGGGTTGGCATTCAGGTATCAGTATCAATGGGAGGGCAGTGAGCTGGGGTTACAGGAGTCCCCCAGACGTGGCCACCACCACTGGTGAATGGCTCTTTACACCCGCGGAGATTAGTTCTGCCTGAAAGGAGGGCCAGTGTGAAAGCTGACATAAACAAAGCCAGCCAGTGTCTTCACTAAGCACACAGCAACCTGGCAGTGCTGAGCAATTCGCACTAGGAATTCGCAGGGCTGGAATCAGGCGCACAGCTCTATTCCTAGTGCTTTTCTGGCTTTTCTCCCCTCTGCGGTGCGGGTCAGTGAGGATTTGCTGGGGTTGACTCTTCCAGGCTTGTATACTCCTGTGTGCATAGGACAGACGCTATTCACCCTTAGACAGGACAGCAGAGGTTGTTCCTGCTGTTTGTGGGTGGAAGCTTCTGCCACCATCTCGACTTTGTGGCTAGGAGGCTGGGTCTGCATCTTTTTACCTACTGTGCCCCTCAGGGCTGGGGGGCAGTGGGGGGTCTCTCCCAAAGGCCAAGAAGTTGTCTTCCCCTCTGGTTCTCACCCTTTCTTCCACTCTGCCGACTCAGGGGCGGACCGTTTCTATGACAACGTTGAGGACATGATTGGCTACCGGCCATGGCCCCTGGTGAAGATCTCCTGGCTTTTCCTGACCCCTGGCCTTTGCCTGGTACATATCTACCCACTGCCCCTTCTCCCTCTTGTCTGTGGAAGACTGGGGAACTGGGAGCTCCTTCCTGCTTGGGCAGAGGGGCTGGTGCCCTGGCCTCCTTCTCTCCCGGGCTTCTCATCCATCCACCTTCATCTAGTCTCCCTCTGCTTCAGCCCTGCCTCCCAGCCCTGCTGCTTCCTGACAGGCTTTCTCTGTCTGCCTGGAGCTCTTTAACCCCCACGCTCACCACCTGCGATTGATGGCGCAATGACACCGTCCCGCCTCAGATGCCTCTCGGTGTGGTGGGGTGGTCGTCTTTTCTTGGCTGTTGGTGTAGCCAGGGAGGAACTCTTGGTTGCTCCTGTCTCATCCTGCCCCCCCCCTTTTAGGCCACCTTCATCTTCTCCTTGAGCAAGTATACACCTCTCAAATACAACAATGTCTACGTGTACCCTTCTTGGGGATACTCCATTGGATGGCTTCTGGCTTTCTCCTCCATGGCCTGTGTCCCACTCTTCATCATTATCACCCTTCTGAAGACCCAGGGTTCCTTCAAGAAGGTAGGTGGTTGTGGAGGCATCATGTGAAGAAGACCCCGAGGGAGGCTTAGGCCAGGAACACATACCAGCTCCCCACACAGGAAAGCCCAGGGGCTACATGGAGAGCTTAAAGGCCTTTGAAGAGCAGGCCCCTGGAATCCTAGGTTCATAGCCATGAGACTGGTCTCAAACGCCAGCTAGTCCAGAGAAAACTGCTTAATGGTTAAGGGAAAAACAAGGGCAAGACCATAAGGGGCCAGCTGTAGACGTGTTACAGAGCACACACACACCCTGGATCTAGGAAAACTGCCAAGCACACCCTGGTTCCTGGCTTGCTTGCTTTTCAAAGCCCCAACTGGGGCATAGCAGATGGCCCTGTGTAGTTTGGGGTATGCCTTCCTTGAAGAAGCCGTTGCCAGCGACTCATAAAGACATCAGTGACATCTGTCAAAGTCAGACTGTTCAATAGCAATAGAGAGCTGATCTACAGTAGTTTAAGCAAATGGGCTTCTTGAATTCCTACATATCAGGAAGGTCAGCAATGGGGGCGCTGGCATTTGGTTTGGCTGTGGGGAGGCCACTGGGGTCCAGACTCTTCCTGTATCCTCATGCCTGCATCCTGAGCATAGCACTTCACTGTCATGTTTACTTCTTCCTGGACACAGTGAGGCTGTCAGGATTCAATGCCTATCATCACAGCTACACTCAGGGCCAGAAAGGGGGTGTGGTTGACACACCAAAACCAGCATAACGATGTAGTAGTACTGGAAAATCTTATCAAGGCACGTAACAATAGTAATTAGAAGCATAGTAGTGACAATCATGACACTTATTTTTCACTTGCCCTGTGCCAAGAACTGTACCATAAGGTCTCGCTACCCCCATTTTACAGATGAGGAAAGTGAGGGGACTGAAGGGATGGAAGAGTAAGGCAGATTACCTGAGGTTGCCTAGATAGTAGTCAGAGCTGGAACCCAGGGTCACAGTCTTCATTACCTCTCATTGTCCATTTGCATCTCAGAACCATCCTGCATTTAGCCCCAAGTGCCTGGTTTGTGCCTGGGACACACCCACAGGAACATCCTCCAGTCGCCCCAGCCTCATTCACTCCCTGCTTCTCTTCTCCACAGCGCCTTCAAAGACTCATTACACCCGACCCCAGTCTGCCCCAGCCAGGGCGGCATCCACCTCAGGATGGCGCCTCTGCTCACAACTGTTCTCCCTCGCCGGCCAAGCAAGAACTCATTGCCTGGGAGAAGGAAACACATTTGTAGGATGTGACAAAGGCCAGGTGACTCCAGAGCCAGGGACCTGGTCAAGGCTACCTCCTCCCAGGGATAACCTCTGAGACCTTGGAGGTCTCTGGACACCCCTGCCGGGGGCCACTCTTCTGTTCAGCTGGAAGAGCTTGTCACTGTCTCAGACTTTCCCACCTGCGCGCCAGGAAACTGTGTTTGCCATGTGCTTTGAACTCAAGACCCTGACTTTTGGGATAAAAAACAACTAAGAACTGGACAAAGTGATGTTTTCAAGTTCACACAGCTTGTCAGAGCCTCAGACCCGCCGGTGCTCCTGTGCCCGGGCTTCTCCAGCCTCACCCCTGCCTCAGCTAACAAGCCTGTATGGATCACCTACCACGACACCCTGCCTCTTCCTTGTCTCCCTCCACTGCAGCTGTGTTGTGGGAGGGAGGTCACCTCTAGCAGGTGCACTGGAATGGGGATGTGGTTTGTTAAGTCCGTTTTTACCCTCTACCTGCCAGACGTCTCCTTCCAGCTTTCTATGTTCTCTTCCTGGGGGGCAGGTCTGCAGCAGCAAGGAACAGTTCTCTCCCTCTCCCTCCCTCCCCCCTCTCTCTTACACACACCCCTCCCTCTTTTCCCGACTCACTTTTCCTCTGGTCTCTTCCCAACCATTCCTTCCTACTTGCTAAATCCTATAGCACACAGCCTCCGGCTTCTGAGGCGTCCAGGAAGGCAGGATGTGGATGAGTTCATGGTGGGCCTTCAGAAGGGAAGGGACAAGAGGGGAGAGGGCACCCAGGATACTGGGCACGGGACCTCACCACCAAGAAAGGCTGCATAGATAAACATCACCCAAAGACTGTCCCGTGGCCAGAGTAACAATCCACGGCCTGACCAGGATCAGCCTGACCTCCGTTCAGGAGGCCTCCAGGCCATCCTCCCAGCATCCCCACTTTCTCCCAGCTCTGCAAGTCTTCTCTTTTTGAAAAGAAACCTCCGTGGACTCAGAGTTTCTCAGCTGCCCTGGCTCCTGGCAGCGCCTTCTGTCTCCTTCTAGATTGCTATGTGCATCTCGTTGGACCAGCTAGGGAGGAACTAGGAGGTCCAAGAGAGGATTCTTAGAAACCACTGCCCTGGGTGCTGTGACGGAGTCCAGGTTCCTGCTGCAGGGCCAGTATGGAGCTCTTTCCCGCCCCCTGGTGGCAGAGGAAAGCAGTACCCCCCTTTTTTATTTTCCAGAACAGACTAGAGAGTCTTAGAAACCAAGCCAGCTGCCTCACTGGCACTCTGGTCTGCCGCCTGGACAGTGGAAGGTAAACTGTGTGGACACTCCCTCCTAAGGACTTGGAAGACTGCTGGCTCCCTTGTGTTCTTCCTGTCTGTGTCCTTGGCCACCTCCAGGCCGCGCTCTTGCCTGCTCTCCACTCCTCACTCTGAGGCACTGGCTGCCTTTGCCTCTGCTATTCTCTTTGCTCACACGTGTCTGCTCCCTGGTGACCAAATCCACGTGGCTTCCTTGTTGATTTGGCTGCTCAGTGAAGTAACAAGGGCCGATTGGATCTGACAGGGATGAAAAGCTTGTTAACTACCCAAGGAGAAAGGTCAGGGAGGGCGTATGTGTTTGGGAAACAAATACAGTTGGCAGGAGCCCGACCCGTCAGGTCATGTTGGATTGAGGTGGGCTAATGCCCCAGGCCCAGCATCTTGATCCCAGCTCTTGCGATAAGTGGGGTTGGCTCTCTCATCTGGCCTGAGGAGTCTGTGTGTAGGTTAGAAAGGTAAGCATAGAATTGCCACAGACAGACAGAATGCCCGAGCCCGAGCCCTTAGAGGCCAGGTCTGTCTGTAGGATCAGCGTCCAGTCCCATTGCTGTGACAAGAGTCTGCTGGAGCTGACAGGGATACAGGATAGACACCGGCTTGCTCTGTCCATCTCAGCAGCATGAGGACGGAGCTGTATTAGAACCCAAGGCCCGACCCTGAGGCCAGACCCTATAAACACTCCTCTTCACTGGGGCAGACCTGTTCTGGCAGGATGTTCATCCATGGAGTAAACAAAGGGGCCTCACTTTATCCTGTCTGGGTCAGGTCTCTACAGAAGAGGCGACATTTGTTCTGCTGTGGAGAGAAGGGTCACGGGGGACACAACAGCTACTAGGACAGCCAGCCATCAAGAGACCTGAGTTCTCTGCCTTATTGTAGTCTCAACTTGATTCTTTTGGGCTTTTCAGATAGACAGTTGGGTGTCTGGAACTATCACCATGTTTTCCCAATCGCTGTTCTTTGTTTCTTTTCTGTCACTCACTGGCCTCCTTACCACCGTTGACATTTCACCACTGCGTGAGGTCATTGATGTAGATGCTTGATGGGTGACATTATTAAGTGGTGTGAAGTCTCATTGGCTCCAAGTCTGTTTTATTTAAAATTAGTAATGCGTGTTGAGCTGGGAGTGGGGATGCAGCAATTAGGATGCTAAGGCAGGAGGACCATGAGTTCAAAGCCAGTGGGGCTGTATGGTGACAGCCTGTCTCAAAAGTCAAAAACTAAAACCAGGAGAACACTGTTGACTTTAACTTACTTCTTTTCTGCATCTGTTACACAGTTGTTTCCCTCTGTGGATATGTTGAAGTATACAAATTGGTGTTTCTTTTTTCTTTTTATTTATTTTATACCCTGACTACAGTTTCTCCTCCCTGCTCTCCTCTTAGTCCCTCCTCTGCAAATAGATTTTTCTAATGCTAATCCATCTTCTTATTCTTGGAACAAGCTCAACTTGGCCACAATATGCTATTTTTGGGTCCCTCTACACCATGTTCAGTCTGTTAATGTTTTGTGTATAATTTTTGGATGTAGGATCATAAGGCTACATTAGTTTTTGCATTCTCCTCTCCAAATTGTCCTTACCGGCAGTGAAGAGAAGGATCGTTCTGTGTTTAAGGTTGTGCTGAGCTTGGATATGAGGAGGCTAGGACTAGTTTTGTCTTTACTGAAGGAGTTCAGGTGAGGTTAGCGTTCTCTGTTCCTTGACTACACATAGAATGCAGTTAGTCACCTGACCTAGTGCTATGTAGTGGACTTTTTAAAAAATGGCCTGTCATTGTCACAGATCTCAAAATTACTTTTTTCCTTCCTTTTTCCTTAGATTTTTAAAAAGACAAACTCTGGCAAGTTTATTAAAGAAAAAGTTCTTTTACTTTACTTTTCTGCAATATGTGATGGCAGCTTCTAATAATATCTAATATATCAATGACACTATAGTATTTTCTGCATGCTGTGCCCAAGTCAGCTTGTAGCCCAGCATGCATGTTGCACTTTTCATAAGTTGGGGCCTAGAGCTGATCATCTCCAGAGACATTTTGTTTTCTTTGTGGCTTCCATCTTTCTGTCTTCGGGGTAGAATGTCCCTCAACCAAGATGGCTGATATGTGAAGAAAAACTTGGTTTTTGAGAAAGTGTCTTACTATGTAGCCTGAGGTGTCCTTGAACTCACAGATCTCATGCTTCTGCCTTCCAAGAGATCCTGGGATTGGAGGCATACCTGGGTGTATTTGGTCTAATGTTTCGGCGAGGTATTTTGATAGCCATGGGTTTACAGTTTCTTTGTAGTGTTGTTTAGTTACAAGGAGCCTGTGCAGTGTCTGCGGCTCTGACTTCAGGGCTCATTCACTGGCTTCGTCGTGATGTACCTTAAAGGTTTGCCAGCTTTGTCTGTGGCCAAATGAGCTTTCGGCTCTATTTCTATCACACACATTTTCTATTTCATCTCTGCTCTGTCTTATTTCTTTCTTTCTGTTTATTTTGGATGATTCTTTTGTTCTTTCTCCCATTCCTGAAGGCAGCTATCTCCGTATCCACACAAAGGACAGCTAACCTCGTTAGCTGAAGTAAGTAACCCAAGGATCCTGTCCATCCCTGTGAAGGAGGATGAGGCTCTCCCAACCCTGTTTTCTATGCCCTGAGGGCAAGTTCTGTACAGATGTCTTCAAGGGATGGGGAGGAGGCTTTTAGGAAAGGGGAGCAAGGCAGGTCTGCCTAGGAAACATAGGGAAAGTCAGGTCTCTAGCCTTCCCTGCAGCTAGCCTTGGTTTTCCCAGAGTCCAGCTTGGGCCTGAGGTCACTCAGTGCTGAGGTCGTGAGAGCAGGAAGCCCTGGGTTGCAGGGGCTGGCGGTTCTCCAAGGAGCAAAGCACACAGACCTGTTGGAGGGGGTGGGTGGGAGCAGGGGTGGAAAGAGTTTCCATCCTTCCTGCCCATCCCTGTCGGTATCCTCTGGCCTAATCCAGGATGGAGTTCTCCTGCTGGGACCAGTTCTGGACCTGCCCCTCCTCCCATCCCTGATAATTTACCTCCTTGCGTTCAGGGTCTAGCTCTGGACCTGGTTGCCTACTTGGAAGAACAGGGAAACAGTAAAGGACACGGGCTTGCTTTGGTTCCTGGATGCTGGTGGGGCCTCAGTCCCCCCAGAGGAGGTACTTCTCCACCCTCCAAAGGGTCTGCTTGGAGGGATGTGGAATGACGTGTGTACCCTGGGATAGACTGTTCTCATAATGTCTCATCTACAGCTGGTACCTCATCTTCCGTGTGAGCCGGTGGGTCAGAGGAAGGAGTTGGTGGGAAGCAAATGAAAGGACTCAGTGGGCATGGTGTTTGTCAGGCTGTCACAGTTCTGTGATTACTCAGAGGGAGTGGCCATGGTCACCTGTGGCCCTGAGCACTAGCGAGACAGGGTAGAGCTCATTTCCATCTACAAAGTGCCACCACAGGCCTTGACCTATGACAGATGGACCCAGAGGCTCCATTAGAACATTCTGGTTTCCCTTTCTTTCTGGAGGGTGCCCTTTCTCCTGGACCACATTGCAGGGGCCAGAATGTTGGGAGAGTGGGGCTGCCTGCTAGCCTGCTTGCATCATTGGTCCTGAGGGCCTCTTGGCCTTAGGCCTTCTCCCAGGCCTAGCCCCAGATGAACCCCTTATAGATGTTCTCAAGGGGCCAGACTTCAGCTTTCTGGGTCAGAGAATTCCCAGGATGGGACAGGTCCAAGCTGGTATCTGCTTCTTCTGGAATTTCCCACTTCCTGGGAAAGGGTGAGCCTATGTTCCCAAAGGTTTGAATAGAGGACCATGGAAACAGCCTGTGGAGCTGTTTAGATGGCTGGGTCTTCAGAAGTCTGGGCATCTGGGAAGCTGGGCATCCTCTTTGCAGGTGCCATCATTTTCCTCCTCAAAAGAGATTCTCTGATGCATTGCACCCTAGCTGCCTCCTACCTTGCCCACTGAGCCAAGCCGAGCTCTTTGGCTGTGACTCAAGCCCTTCTCTCCTCAGGTCTCCTTCCGGCCTCCTAGACATACCTTTTGTTCGTGTCTTTGACACAGTATCTTGCTTTGCATTTTTGTCTGGCATGAAACTCATTATGTATCCCAGGTAGGTCTCAAACTCACAGTGACCCTCCTGCCTCAGCCTCCCGTGTGTTGGGATTGCAGGAGAATGCCACCATGTCCACCCCAACCCATCTTACAGCCACGTGACTGCTGTCATGCTCTTTCTGGAGCCTTGAATTCCTTGTGTGCTCCCAGCAGGTGACCTAGCACATGGGAGGGGTTTGGAAATACTGTCCCACTTACTCGCAGTAGCTCTTTCCCCAGTGGTGTCCCAAGGCTTTCACCCAAGCCTGTTGTATGGCTTTGCAAGCTATTCTCTGGATTAGGTGTCAGACTTTGCATGTGAATGTTGGTGAAAATCAGACACGGATGCTCAGGCCTCGCTCTCCACTGAGTGCACACATGTACTAGCTGGAGGTGGAGCAATTCTCTGACCTTTCACCTCAGCTCTGCCCCGGTACCCACCCATCAGATGTCTAGTCCTTATCATTCTAGCACCCAGACCTCAGGTGTTTCTTAAGACAGGGCCTCCTTATGGAGTTATACGATGAGACATCATCTATCTTGGGGGCAAAGAGTGACCGCTGTGGCCAGAGAGAAGCTGGGTGTCTCCAAGAGCTGATGGTCAGTACATGTTCTTTCCGAACCCTAGCAGGAGACACACTCTGATTTGAGGTGGTGGGTGTGTTGTGTGTCATCCCCAATCCCTGTCCCCCATCCTCCCACGAGAGCCAAGGAAACAATGGACACAGGTTTGCTCAAGTGACACATTTCAATAGAATCTCTAAAACTCTATGAATTGAACAGATAAAATACCTCTGGGCTATTTTGTTACAAAATATTTGCCATTTGGGTTAGTTGCTGAGTGCAGCCACCCTGCCTGTCCCCAGAGAGCTGTCACTCCATCTGGTGAAGGGTGAGCGGGGGAGGAGGGGTCCGCTGGAAGATGGACAGCTGATGCAGACACAGACAAATGCTATCAGGAACCTCTCCTGGGTAACGGAAACATCCTGGCAGGCTCTGGACAGGCGGGGTGGGGGTGTCATAGATCCAGGGTCCATACATATTTGTGGGAGCAAGACATCTTTGCAGACGAAAAGACAGACGGCCTGGCTTCCAGGAAAGGCTGCCAAGACAGGACCTGCATTTGGAGGTGGGTTTGCCTAAAAATAGGTAGGAAAGCTGGTCCCACCTCTCATCTGATTTTGGAGGAGGGGCCAAATGGATAAATTGGGAGAGGGGCCCAGGCTCCCCAAAGTAAGGCCTAGAAAGTTGATGGAGGGGGAGTTTTGGGGTGATTGGGTCTGCTAGCTCAGCCAACCCTCCATCGTCCCCTTAACTTTGAGGCAGCCAGAGTCTCCAGAGCCTCTTTCTGGGCCTTCAGGAGGACTGGTGGTCCTGATCGGGTCACTGCCATGGAGAAGGGTAGGAGGCTTCTGCCAGATTCTCTGGGGTCTGAGATACAGATGGACGAATTCTACCGTTAGTGGGTTGGCTGAGCTCGGGAGAGAAGCGACACATGTCGGGAGCTCTAACTTTGCCTGACCAGTAAGGTAGGCCAGCTCCCCCTCCTGCCTCTCCCTCCCTAGGGTACTGGGGCTCAAAGCCTGCAGGCTCAGGATTGTTCCATGTGTGACCCCAAGCAGTGTGGCTTCCCATGCTGGCTTTTGCTCCTGCCAGCAGTGTCTAGGTCAGCTATTGTAGCAACCTCAGGTAAAGCTCTCCCTGGAGAAAAGATGCAGGGTGCCTGGGAGTCGGGGTCCTCAGAGCTCACACATGTGGGCCAGCCCCCAAGCCTCTGCTGGAGCTGGAGCTCATCAGGAAAGTAGGGCTTAGCGGAGGCAGGAGGGACAGAGGACACTGTTAGCCTGAAGCCTGGTGTGAGCAGGGGGCAGGGCTTGACAATGGGAACTGAGCTCCCAGGGCTAATGTCCCTCTTCATCACTCCTTGACATCATGATGCCTACTCCAGAAACACACTTGGACACACTCATAACTCATACTCCTTCATACCTCACATCCTCCCCACGAGTCATAAATTTCCTTCTATTTTCAGCCTTCTCATTCAGCCAACCCTATCAAAGACTCTGCTTTCCCCAGGCCCTAAGCCTCTCTGCCCCAGTGTAGATGGTGAGGTGTCTAAGTAGTGCCCCCTATCTGCCAGTTGTTCTATTCTGACAGGTTCTGGTTATTTTCTGAAACATGGGTGCAGAGGGACCCAAGGCAGCCGATTTAGAAAAACACAGGCTGGGAGCCCTTGGGGAGGTAGCATATTGGCCAAAAGTTACAGAAATGGCCAAAAGCTCCCCAGGTGACATCATAATGACCTCTGGGTGAAAGCGCGCGCGCGCACACGCACACGCACATACATGCATGCACCTGAAATGAGGTCCTTTGACCCCTCTAATAGCCTGGATGCCTCCTATCTGGTCCAGAGTGCTGAATCTTGGGCTGTACGGCGGAGACCAGGAGAAGCCAATTCACTTCCACCCACGGCAACATCCACTGTGCCTCTCGCCTCTTGGGAAACTTTAAGAACAGGCTATGACTAGGAGGGCATCTTGAAGAAGGTCAGAAATAGCTACTGGCATAGGACAAAGGAGGCTGGCCTGGCATGTGACAGCCTATGACATCACCCCTGTAGTCTATGGGGCTGCCTCATCTGTCTGGGGCTCTGTAGGGCCAGGGCCACCTGCGCTGACTCTGGATCCCGGTAGGCCTGGAAAGTTGATAAGCCCTGCTAGGCTGTGCTCTGCAGTTTTGACGGTCCAGGAATTCTTAGCCATCCCAGCTGGAAGCCAGCCTGCATTTTCCAGGGAGGGACGGTTTTTAGGGCAGCAGCAGGGGTGACACAGTGACTAGAACTCACTGCCTCAACTTGTCTGTGTCCACAGAGGTTGCAGAGTCCTACATGAGGAAGCCCTGACTCCAAGCCAAGTCACACCTCTGCTGGGCAGGCCAGTGCCCCATCCCCTAGCTTCTGATGCCACAAGGAAGTAATCAACCCACTTCTCACAAGTGCTTATGGGTAACTGCCTGTGTGCACTCAGGGCTGGCCGAGTTGTTGCTGGAGCTAGGAACCAAGAAATGTTCTCTTAGAGTTCACTTTCCAGACATGCTCTCGCAGTCCCAGGGTCCTGTTGAATTGACCCAGACAGAACGGAATACCCTGCCCCCTCTCTTGAGTCTTTCCTGGGTCAGGGTAGGTCAGAATTCTCTGGTGGTGGCAGGAGAGCTGACACGGTGAAAAGGGAGCCAGTGTCTCCGGGGAGCTAAGAACCAGTCTCCTAACTACAAGCTTGGATGACGAAGCCCTCCTCCCCTGCTACTCTTAGTTTGCTCCAGGGGGCCAGGGCTCGCTCTCCTCTGTTCAGCTTGGCTATAGATACACTTGTGCTGGGGTAGTCTGCCTCTGCCCTGGGCTGTGCTGCTAGAAAGTCCAGCCCTTTGCTCTTGCCCACCGGCCCAAAGCAGGAATACTAACAAACCAAGACTGCAAGCCTATCAGCCGACAGCCCTCAACTTGAGTTTCCCTCAATCCAATTAGGGGAGCATGGTAAACACAGAGGAGAAGGCATGGCCCATCTGGCTTATGTGGGACCCCTGGAAGAGTGACAAGGTGTTTACATATTTGTGGTGAGGTACTCGAGTTAGTCAGTGAAGGATGGTTGGGACAAGCAAACCATCTCGCCAGGGCATTCTCTTTTCCACAACAGGGATCAGTGGCCAGGAAGGCATTACGCCAAGATGTGAGGAGTGGCAGGGGGCAGCCCAGGCTCCTGAAGGACAGCCCATTGGAATAGCAGGGTGCGAAGGGCAGAGCCTACACCAGGCTCCTTGAGCCACTGGAATAGCGGCGCCGGAGCAGCAGAGAGCCTGGAGGACAGAACTGATGAGGGTGGTTGTATGGGGGTGGGGGTGGGGGCAGTGGGGGCTGGTGGATGACCTTAACTGGAGAGCCTGGACCACGCAAGGGTGTGGAGCCACAGGAATCTGAGGAGGACGAGGCATAGCAGGACAGGGCCTGGCTCAGCAGGGGCTCCATGCGGGCCAAGCAGGGTTTGTCCAGGACAATGACCTTGACAATTTGCTGGCACTGCACCAGGGTGCCTGGGGGTGTGGGTGGCGGCAGCTGCGGCAGCGGTGGGGGCTGCTCCCTCAGGGGGCTAGGCTGTGGGTCTGGCAGTAACGGTGGTGGTGATGTTGGCGGTGGCGGTGGTGGCTCTCCCCTCTCGACCCCCAACCTGGGGCTGTGCTGGGACGTTTGAAGCCTGTTGTGAATTGACACCTAGTTTAGAAACAGCCAGAGAAGCGTGAAATGTTACCACTAATTCCCAGCTGCTGGTGCTGGCCACCCAAGCCTCCCGGAGCCTCCCTTCAGACCTCTCCTACCTACCGTCCATAGGATGCTCTTAGCCTGGTGTACCCCATGCAGGTCTCTCCGCCCACAGGGAAACTGCTTCTAAACTCCTTGGTTATATGGAGACAGCCTATGACAGACCCCAGGCTCTTGTCTGTGAGATGGCTCTGCAGGGCAAACTCCTCCCTATGTGCTCTCTATCCCCTGAGCGTGAGAAACAGGGCCATCCTCTTAGCATAGGGTGTGATTAAGGAGGAGGTCTAATCATTCAATTGCCATCAGGGTGCCTGAGCCCAGGATGCTAGGGGACCTGGGAGGGGTCCTGTGAACCTAGCCTGTCCTTCTACACTCTCTGAGGTCATGACCCCTGCATCTGAGGGCTGCTGAGACAGTCGAGGACAGGGTCCTCATCACCCTCCTGTCCCTTCTGGTCTTGGTTAGATCTGTATGTTATGGGGCAGAGAGATGGAGAGCCTCCATCTTGACTCCTTGCATGGTGGCCCAGACAGACTCGCTGTAAAGATGTAATGTTAGAGTTTGGACCAGAGTCACTGCTTAGGCTCAGTACCTGCAGCAGCAGCTTTTTCCTTCCCACAGACACCGAGAGGTGCCCACGGAGGGCATTACCTCTGAGTCCCCAACTAACGGGCTTCCAGGTGCTGGGGTTTCTCACCCAGAGAAGTACGTTAACATCAAAGTGGGTATTGGTGGTCACACATCCTTGACTTGAGAGCCTGGTGGCAGGCCCATGCCCCTTCAGATGGCCCTAAGAAGAGCCCGCACTTCCGGTATGTAGACCCTGATTCCTGTCTTCAGACTCCCACTCATGGTCTGTCCCTGGTGCTAGGACCTTTCTTGTCCCACCATGCTCTTGTCCATTGTTCGTCTGTCTCTGCCCGGGGTGTCAATAACTCTCCTAATAAGCCCCACAAGAGTCTGTCCCCCTTGAACCTGTGTACATTTCACTCATGGGAGGCTCCCATAGACAGGCATGGGAGTAGAAATCATCTAGCCTCCTCTTGTTAGCAGAAGATGTAGAGGAAGTGGACACAGGGAAGGAGAAAGACTTAATTCTTCATCCCCTTCTGACTCATCCCCCATATCCCTAGCTAGTAGTGATGACACCACCATCCTCTCCAAACACATGGGCCTTCCAGGGGTTACTGGGACCCTGCTGTCTGAAGATGTTTTCTACTGGGCCTGTCTGTTCACAGGTACCACCCTGTAGGACCAACTTCCCAGGGCACAGAAGGGGATGCTGAGGCCACAGGGGACCGTTTACCAGTCCAGTTTACTGTCTAAAGGTATAATTTCAGATCTCTTTCCTAGACTTGTGCAGTCTCCCATGAGATGTTGTCCCTCAAGAGTCTCAAGTCCCAGTACCATCGCCTGCCGCAAGGCTTTTTTTTTTCTTTTATTCTGCTGCCCTCTTTCTCCATCTGGGCAGCACTGCCCAGGCCTGGAATCACCCTCTCTGAGGCATTTGCTGCTGATGCACACGGCCTGCAGAGGGCATGGCCAGCGTCTCTGTCCTCTCTAGGGATGTCATAGGCAGAAGACCGGTGTCACCATTGCTAATGCAAGGCCCAGGCTAACCTCATACCTACCTGTTTCTGAACAATTCTCCAGAAGTGGCCTGAGACAGCCTGACCAGGCTCACCCTCTCTGCCTCCCTGTCCCCACCTTACAGGCACCTTAGGTCTGGTGCACCAGTGCTGGGCTACACAATTCAGGGCCAGTGAGCCTTCCCTCTCTTTCCTCCCCAGTTGCTCCTACATAGCCCTCAGCGGGCACACAGTCTCTACTTTCCTCTATCCGCATGTCAATCCCACCCCAGCCGGATAAGACTCAGTAAGTTAAAAGCCAGAGAGAGAGAGAGAGAGAGAGAGAGAGAGAGAGAGAGAGAGAGAGAGAGAGAGAGAGAGAGAGAGAGAGAGAGAGAGAGAGAGAATGAACATGGGTAGCAGTTAGACAGCTCAGAGAAGATGGAAGAGTGCCTGCCATAGGGGCTTGGCTAGAGCAATGCCGGAGGAGAGGGAGCTAGGGCCAAGCCGAGGGGCTATGGGGTGGCCAGATCGCCTCTGCTGAGGGGAGCAGAGGCTGGCAGGATCCCTGGAGCTAGCTGGAGGGGTGGGGCAGCCTTGCAGATAGCCACATGACCCCTTTGGGCAAGTAGGAGGGAAGAGGTGCATCATACGGCTGGTCCTCCTCGGGTAGCCCCTGGAGGGTGCGATGGAGGGTTGGTGGCTAGGGTTATCTGCAAGGCTGAGAATGGGCAGCTGCGGGAAGATGCGGGCGCAGGGCAGGGGATGGAATACCCACCCTGGGGGCTGGTCAGCTGCTGGGGCGGGAAGCTCCTCCAGGTAAAGGTGCCTCCTCCAGAAACACGTGGGGGGTGGGGTGCGGGGACAGAGAGAAACTGAACTCCCAGGTATCCTGCGGCTCCCCAGGGCTTGGCAGGCAGCTGGTGGGCTTCTCCCTTACATCTAGGGGAGCCCTCGTGCTGGGGTGGGAGAGGGCTGTCTATGAGAAGCTGGTGGACCTCACTGCCTGGCAGCCACGGAGAGGCTCTGAATGGTAGGCAGTGTATGCTACCTCTAGGGGCCGCTTTGGGTCTGGCAGGAGCCAGCTGTTACTTCTAGGTTCCCTTGTGGCTTGGAGCCGGCAGCCTCTCCTCCAGTGAGGAGGCTCTTCAGCTTTATCAGCTCATCCCCCAGGAAAACCTGTGGCATCTCAGCCCTGTTCGGCCTCCCTTTCTCCTGGGCTCACCCCACGACATGGCCAGCTTTTCCAGAGACTACTTCTCCAGGGAGAAATCCCTTTTCACTGTCTCAACCCCACTCCTCCGGTTTCCCCAGGAGGTATCCAAATGTCCCTAGGAGTGATCATAGAGGACTTGGCTTTAGGGAGGACCTTGGGAGGGAGCCCAGGCTCCCTGTTAAGGGAGTGGGAGGACTTAGAAACGGACCATTGAGCTTCTGATAGCACAGCACGCATTTGGGAGGTACTGAGCAGTGTGCTGGGGACGTGGGTGTGCAAGGGACATGGGTGTGCAAGGAGTGTGGAAGGAAGGGCCATGTCGTGGGTTCGACTCCCCGGGCTGGTCTGGGAGGTTGGCCCTGGAGGGCAGTGGGCTGGGTTGGCTGGCTGGGGAGCGGTTTGGCAGTGCTTGTGGCTTAAGTAGGCGCTGGAAGAGTGGCGTTACCCATGCTAGCAGTAACTTTTAATTGTATCTCTTGAAATTGGTAAAATGGTGAGTCGGGCTGGGGAGGCATTGATTAATACCTGAGAAGAGAAACAACAGAGACGGTGAGAAGAGGGACGAGGGGTCGCAGGATCACTCACCTGGATGCCACCAGGCCTCCACTTACCTCCCCCGAGCTCTCCGCCGCTTTCTCGCCTGCCATCGCTTCCCTTTTGGCTTTGAATGCAAACAGCACAGAGCTCATTCTCTACCAGTCCTGCCTGGAACCCTTGGCCCTCCTCCTCCCCATCTCTACCCGCATGACTGCGGGTGCCACACACACTCCACTAGGCTGCTGCTTGGCATAGCAGGCTGGGTATCAGGAGCCTCGCTCGGCCACTTAGTAGCTGTGTCATCGTGGGTAGTGTGCTGCACCTCTCTGGGCCTCCACAGACTAGGCCGCCTTTGGAATTCCTTCTGAAATTTGCACTGTGGAGTCATTTTCTCCCGGGCCAGTATGATCTGCTTTTGAGTGGGCCCTGATTTGGAGGCACCATGAGAATCTGCCTCCTTCCACCACAGGTCCCTTGAAGGAGGGGCTGTCATTTGCTATGGTCACTGTGACTTAGGAGAATTGGGGGATTTGAGGACCCAACACAGTGCTTGCCATCCACGGAGCTGCTGACAGCCTGCAATTAGGACTGTAGCTTCTCGACACCTGGTATGCATCAGGGACCCTGTGAACCCCCAGGAATGCCTTGATGACTCTTCCTAAGGTCTTCTGGAGTCTAGCCCCTTGAGTTTCTCACTCCCCATGCCCAGGGTGGCCGTTTTCAACCCTCTGCTTCCCAAGGAGCAAAGGGAACTGCACAGTCATGGGCACCGTAGTCAAGACTCTGGGGATACACATCTAGATCGGACCGGGGCTCGCAGCTCCCACAAGAGAAACTGGAAGGATAAAAGTCTCAGCTGAGAACTGGTGGTAAAATGCAGGCGGCCCTGAAAATGAGCTGTGACCCACATCCTGAGACCTTATAAAGCAGAGTTTAGCTGCATGGAGAGTTACAGTAGCGTATAGATGACAACTCAGATACTTTCCACATCAAGAGCCTGAAACCTGGGAACAGGAACGGCAGGTCTTGGTTGGTGCAATCAGTCCCTGGGATGCTGCCTATCCCTAATCTATCCTTAGGACTAGCTGTAGAGGAGTGGGGACCTGGGACTGTCGGAGTCCACGCCCTTCCTAGCTCACGTGGCTGCCCTGAGCCTGGGGCTGCTCAGTGCTCATGCTATAAGCTTTGAGTGTGGGGCGTGAGACTTAGTAGGTAAGCTAACGCCCGAGCTGTGAGTGGGTTTCTGGGTACCCCCTGTTCTTCTAATTTTTCCTTACCAGGGGACTGTGGGGGAGGGGCAAAGCCCACCTCCCATGCTTCCTGCCAGTGGGTAAAACTGGTGTAGCTGGCAGAAAGGATAGAGTCAGGCTGGCGTAAGCAGGCTTTCAGGGCTGAGTAGAGGGAAAATAAGTCCTAAACTCATTCAGACTCCATTCGCCTAGTGGGGAAGCAGTTTGAGGCCCATCTGGAGAGAAGCAGGGACATCAGGGCTCTTGGCTGACTCCAGGGGCAGGCGGAGACATTTCACAGACAGTCCTGCACTTTGGGACAGTTTCCAAACTGGATATGTTTCTCTGTCACCTTTTCTCTACCCTGAGCTAAGGACTAAAGGTTAAAGATGAAAGCCTGGGACTGCTCCATGGAAAGAGAGAGCTGGAGAAACAGCGTGCCCCACCCACAGCCCCCAGAGCCAGGTTCGGAGCTGTGGCGGCCTCTGCATGGGCCGGGTAAGGACAGAGTCCAATCTCACCTGTGGGTGATCCTTGCTTTGACTGGGGGTCCCCCTGGGCTCCAGCAGACCTTACAGAGAGCGCCTTTGTTCCCTGCTGCCTCTCCAGTTCCCCTAAAGAAGGGAGAAGCTGTGAACAGAGGTGTCCCCCACCCCCACCCCAGCTCCGGGGAGAGCAGGAGGAGGGAGAAGGGAGGGCCCTTTCCTGCCCACGCTGACAGGGACTCCAGGTTGGGCTTGAGCATTGAGAACCAGGTAAATCTCTCTGGGAGCTGTATCTGTGAGTGGTGATGGCAAGATTTGCTTGACTGCCTGAGGGGCCTTGAGAGACTGGTGTGGGACAGGGAGGCAGATGGCTGGAGTTGACACCCTAGACTGATGGTTCTTAGGTACGGTACCTAGTGTACTATGCCTCGCTGGAGGAGACAGCTGGGCCCACTGCCCAGTGTCATTAGAAAGATCACCTGAGGTAAGACACACAGAACAAGGTCTGACTTGGGCAAGTGTTACATGCATCAGCATTAGGACGGTGTGCAAGGAAATGCAGCGTGTGTTCCCTGGGCACAGTTAGTGACATTCATGTTTACCTAGCAGGATGGTTCCCCTTGCCAGCCCCAGGTGCTGAGTTTCCTGCAGGGTGTTCAGTGGTCCCCCAGGGGGTAGATTCCGTAGCCTGTGTGGCTGGAACAGATGCCCCAGTTGGTCCTTCACCAGAGTCTCTCTGCCCCACCCACTATCCTGTTTATTCTCCCAGTGGCTCTAGGGAACTGCTCGTTGCCATCCGTGTAGATTTGACAGGTATTATTAAAGTGTTCTCTCAGCTTCTTGGTTCCATGGGACATGACTCAAGTTTCCTTTATTAAAACTATCCACTTGGGTTCCATTTGCTGTTTCTCTGGCTGTCTAGAATCCAGGGAAACTGAACAGGAAGTGTCCAGACAAGCAGTTTGTCCTTGTTGCTGGAACCATACCATCCATCATGTCAATGCATTTTTAACTGAGTTAGTTGCTTGCTGGCCCAAAGGGGTCCTCCTGGCTTTGGAGAACTTGGTGCCATAATTACACATGAATCTAGAAAGCCTGGGTGTGATGCTCATTGCCACTTACAGTGAGGACTTGGACTCCCTTCTACAGCTCTGCTGGCCTCAGTTTCCTTGCTTGTAAGAGGAAGAGAACAATGTGCTCACAATGGGGAGTTGTAGGGATTAAATGCTGGGTCCTGTCACCTGCCCGGTGCCAGGAGGGTAGCAGGTACTTCAATGGCGGCTACTGGTGGCCTCTGTTTACCTCCTGCTCACTTCCTCTCCTGCCTGCCTCAACGGGGCAGCCTCTTCTGTCATCCCTCTCTGAAGACAGAACCAGCCTCTCTGCCTACGGTCCTCCCAGCTTTCTTGTTCCCAGGCAGCTGCGGAAGCTGGTTTCTCTCCCACTTAATGTAATGGACTCTGACCAGGTCTGCACTCTTACTGCTTTGAGAAAGGGTGCCCTGGGCTAGAGGAAGATGCCTCCACTACAGCTGAGCCGGGCGCCAGGGGCTCTCTAAGCAGTTGGAGCACTTTGTGGCATTCTGACCGGGACAAAAGTAAATCCATTTCAAGGCACACCGTGGAGAATTGTTCAAGAACAAATAGCCACCCTGGACCCGCTATGTCACTAGTCTGACCCCTGCAAAGAGTCTGTTGGTGACACTTTTGAGTCCAAATGAACCAGCGTCACACAAAACCAGTGTGTACTCAGTGACCAGCACCCTCTGCCCAGCAGGGTCCTGAGCTCTGCGTCTCATCTTAGCCCAATTTTGAATTATTTCCTCAGGAGATTATACACAGAACCTCTTATTTCCGTTTCATAGTAGAAAGACTGTGAGGCTAAGCATCGGACTCAACTGCATATGCCATTTCTGCCTGTGCTAGCACTGGCTACTTTCTCAAAGGGAACAAAACAGTCACCTTTGCAGGCTACTGCGAATATTAAGCAGAATATAGCCGAACCACCTTGGCCGACCCTCGGTCTCACGGATCAGTTCCCTGGGCTGTTCTGGCCAATACAGCAGTGTTCTAGATGAGAAAGGCCCCTGTGCGCCCCACATGGCTGGCAGGTGTGCATATACATGTGTGTACCCTGGGTGGTACAGCTCAATTTGATTGTGAAGCAACCCACATTGGGATGGGATGTTGCAGCGATGTTAGGAGTGGGTGGGATTGGGGATCAGGCTGGGGCACAGCAGGTGTGGGAGTTCCTGGGAGGCAGAGGTAAGGTATGTATGCAGGCTTCCTCTACCTCGTGGACTCCATCTGTCTGTCTTAGGAACGGGGGCCATCCTTACACTCTATCCGGATCTGCTCCAGCTCTGTCACCTCAGCAATGGACTCCTTCAGGTCCTCCACAAACTTTTGCATCTCATCAGAGCCGAGGGCGCAGAAATGCAACACCTGCTTCTTCTCAGAGCCCGCGAGCGGAGTTGCCAGCGTGATGCCATGGGAATAATCTAGAATCCAATCACCCCCCAGCGGTGAGCACACACAGCAGGGAAGCTGGGGCAGCCAGGTTCAGGAAAATTCCCGCCCTCCCGGCCCCAGGACTCACACTCGTTCTCAAAGAGGTGAAAGCGCATGCCCAAGAGGCCGACTGCCTTGCAGAAGGTGTACGTGAAGGAGCTCTTCTTCTTTGGACACAGCTTGAGAATCTGCCCAGGGGAGGGACAGAAACAGATGAGGGGCTCCTGTAAATATGTGTGCACACAGGCAGGCACCAACACCCACAGACACTGTGGACACTGTCAATACACAAAGATGCACGCCTATGCACATCAGACACAGTCACCCCCCCACATGCTTGGCACAGTACACATGTGCCTTCCCTGCTTAAAACCCACTCGAGCCCATTACTTCTGCATTGGAAGCCTTGGCTTGTAAGACCTCCCAGATCCAGCCTCTGCCCCATGCTGACTTTACGCTGGTATCACACTGTCCTTTTTGTACCTTGAAGCAGCCTTGCTCAGTCCTATGGCAGCCATTCCCTTTCTACAGCGCCATGCCCGTCCCCTCCCCCCAGCTTTCTGCACAGCCAGATTACTCTCATTATTTAATACAAAATGGTCCTTAGAGAAAGCGTCCTTCCAAAATCCCATTTAAAGCCACAAACTATCAGCCAATGTCCAAGTCTCGCCTACTCTGTCCCACCGCCACTCTATAGAGTTCATAGCACTCCTCCTGGGGGGACGGTCTCATTCATTAGCTTTCTTTTGCTTTTCACTCCATTTTTATTTCTGCCTAAAAGGAAAGATCTGTTCACCAGTTGCTCAAATACATAAACTTGTATTTTATTTAGTAGCTCTTATGAGCAGGGCACAGCAGACGCAGAGGGACAGATGGGACAGAAAGCCTTTCCCTCCAGGGGCTCATATGACGGGGAGGAAGACAGCAAGGAGAAAAACCTTTCTACCCGCCCAACAAAAATCAAAGCAAGGCAAGGAACAAATGGGGTAATTCCAGAAGCCTGGGAGTGTTCTGAAGGAAGTAAAACAGGATTAGAAATCGAAAGTGCTTGGGCAGACTGTCTTGCTTGCACAAGAGGCCACTCAGGGAGGCACATTCACATTCAGTTAGAGACCTGCCTGAAGACAGGGAGGTGACCACACCCAGAGGAGCTTTTGAAGGGAAGGGGCACCAGAAAGGAGGTCCCACCAGTGGGAGGCAGCTCCTGGGGCCAGGCTGTTAGAGCAACCCAGTGTGTGTGGCAAATGAGCTCAGAGACCTCTGGGGTTAGGGGAGCCTGGGGCGCAGGATCAGGCTGGAGCCTGGTAGAGGGGAGGCCCTGATGCACACTCCAGAAAGGTACTGAGGCTCTGGGGAAGTGACAGGAGACAGGAGGGACCTAGCATTTTAACACCCTGTACTATACAGACGCGTTTGTACTCCATACTGCAAAAGGGAACCGGCATGTGTATGTTATCACTGGCTGTCCACATACATGTATCTGAGTTATGCTCTTCCCCCTAAACCCTGTGCTCCTGCAGGAATACAGGGTTAATACAGACAGATGCTAACCAGACACGGTGTTTCGATGAGTGCCTGAGCCTAAGCTTCTACCACAGGGAGGAAGAGGCTAAGTGGTGGGAACAAGGGAAGCAGGGCTACCACAAACCCCCCAAGGGGCTGCCTGACCAGGGGGGCAAGACTGAGCTCCAGAACTCACTGCCTTTGCTGCCCCTTCCTGTTCCCCGGTATAACCTGTTGGGAGAGGATTGGATGGAAGACAGGTTTTTAAAATGCTAATCCACTGTCTTCCAGATTATCATCTCCGCGAATAAAGCAGGTCTAAGATTCAGTTTCCATCTCTTCTCATAGGTTCTGACAGTGACAGGTACCAAGTGCTCCTGAGAGTCACTGGGCCAGCATGTCAGGTGGGGAGAGCTAGAGGTGCTTCTGTGGGACCCTGCAGTGGTTTCCATGTGACTCACGGAGAGGGCCAGAGGGTACAAACCTGTGGGAGCTCACCCCCTGCCTGCTTCTTGGCACTTGGGACAATTCCTGGCACAGTGGGATGAATCAAAGATTTATTTGTGGGACGCTTGTTTTCAGAGAGAAATACACCATACATATACACGGTCTCTCTCCAGGGACCAGGGACAGTGACTCTCTACTGACCATCCGGCAGGAATGCGATGCCAATACTGTGTGACTTGCCCAAGGGTTTCTGTATCATGGAGAGGCAGGTTGTCTGGGGTCCTGCTCATTTCCACTTTGACCTGTCTCTGTGCTTCAGATTCCTGGCTTATCAAGCAGGGACTGACATACCCCCCACAGCTACAGTCTTGGTCCACCCGGCCAGTACCTCCATGCTTAGTCTTGCCCTGCCCAGTCTCAGTAGGCAGGGACTCAGGACAGCACCGGCCTCAGCTCTCCCCTGGCTAACCCTGGCCTGTGTGCTCACCACCAGCAGGTCATTGAAGAGGAACACTTCCCTCTGGTGTGCAGCCTGCTTCTGGAGCTTGTTCACATCGGTCACCTCGAAGAGCCGGCTGCAGCAGACCAGGCGGCGGTGTGGCATGGACAGCACCTGGAATCCAGATAGTGCTCTACAGTGAAGCCCTAGAGACCCCAGGGCCCTTCCCAGTCCGTGGCACCCATTTTCCAGAAGAGGAGTTGGAGATCCAGGGAGTGGGCGTGGGCTCTACTCCTATGCAAAGGCCAGTGCTTGACCCTCAACCTCTCACCGGGGGTCCCTGTTCCCAACATCACACCTCTGGGGCAGCAGATCCAGAGAGGGGATTCATTATGCTTGGGTAGTGAGAGCATGGGATGGGCAACAGAAATTTAAGCAGGCCCCCAGAGTTTTCAAAATCTGTCATCCTTCCTTCTTCTATGACCATGCATGTGTGAAATGCCTACCCCTCTCTTTACTGCACACTCAGATACACGTGTGCAAGAGAAAGGGGACTATAAGAACTCCAGAACCCAGGCCAGTAACTAAAATATCAGCTGGCTTGCAGAGCAGACGAGTGCCGAGTCCTCAGCTGCAGAAGCTCTGAAGTTCACAGGCAGAGCTCAAAGGCACCCTCCAGTGGGAGGGTAGGAGCATGACCTGCCTTACCCACACCCAGAGTAAGGTGCCAGGAGCACAGTGTGCCACAGAGGACGCCAGCTTTCAAACTCACTGCACATCAGAACACATTGCCTGGACCCAGGTGGCCACAACCTACAGTCCGGGTGGCTCATTTTTGTGCCTTCTCCCCATTAGGGCCATCCAGGAATGCCTGCCACCCGCTGCTCCCTATGAGGGGCGTCCTAACCTTTCTTAACTGGTCATCCACATACTTCAACCTTAGATCACTGGCCAGTCCCTTCAGACATCTCACCCTAGTAACTGCAGCTGGTGGCAAGAGGGATGAGGCGATTATGCAAGGGAAGAAAGAGGATGCAGTGCCTGGCACACAGCGCAGACTCAATCTGTCACTCACAGGGAAATGTCTTTGAGAAAGGGAATGGGGAGACTGAGGAGACATCAGGAGGAAGGAAAGACAGGAGCCAGGAGATGGCTGGTTGGGGAGCTGGAGAGGAGGTCAAGAGCTGTGGGGAGTACTTACCGTCTTCATGCCCACGATGGACTTCTCCACCTTGGTGACATATGTGACGTGGTCCTCATTGGATTTGAGCTCCTTCTGCTGGATCCTTTCATAGATGCCCACTACCAGCTCTCTGGGGATGTCAGCACCATCATCCACACCTACCAATGTGGAAGGAAGGGTCAGAGGGACAAGGTGCTCTACAGGGGAGCACCAGGAAGGTGGCATTGGTTGTGTTTTGTTTCTGACTTAAAGCTTCTAACAATTAGTTCCTTCTTCTCACTAAAGTAGAGATAGATTTTTCAGCCATGTCAGCTAAAGTCCTCTGCTCCCACCTCCTAGGCCTCTTTCCTGTGGTCCCCATGCTCCCTCACCTCTATTGTCTTCTGTGAATTTGCCTTGATCTCACTCTGTGTCTCCCCATGAGCATGAAGATCACCCATCTTGTCTCTTTGAGGTGTTTTCTCTCTGGGACTTCCCTCCCCTTTAGCAGGGGACATGGCAAACAAGAATGGGTACCATGGAACGGTGGAATGGGTGACAGGTGTCTACCCTCATTGGGAGCAGAAGAGCTGAGCAGGACGCAAGGAGGAGGTTGATGTCTTGAGGTGGCGCAGGTAGCGAACCCCTTGTGCCCGTTCCCCAATGTTATATACTGGTAACATTCGGAGGGCAAAAGAGTTATCAGAAGGAAGTAAAAAGTTGTGCTTGTGGGAATGAAGAGTGAGGAAGAAGGCATGAGAGGTAAGGCTGAGGAACGTCTTCCAGAAAGTCAGCCAAGAAAATGTCTGCATGGAAAACTGCTACACACAGTAGATGAAGTAGGAACCTGACACCTCAGTTACAGGAGTTCAGGAAAGTGCGGTGAGAATGTGGAGAAGCTAAGTGACCAGTACACCGCACTGCACTGCTCCAGTAACCGTAGCTTGGCTTCAACCATCAACCCAAAGTGTTCTGAGAACTGTGTCCCAAACATGTACAGATGTCTCTCTTGTCTTCATTCTCTAAATAATGCAGTATAACAGCAGTTTTCATGGAATTGAAAATGTATTGGGCCTTAAAATACTCATCTAGAGATAACTTAGAGAATAAAGGAAGGTGGAGGATATACGCCAATGCGCATGAGCGCGCGTGCGCGCACACACACACACACACACACGCACACACACGCACACACACATGCGCACACACACGCGCGCGCGCACACACACAACTTGAACACCCAACAGGGGCCTGGAAACAGCTCCTTGCAGACACAGAAGGATAACTACGTATCAGAAAACTTCACACAGCTGGGCATGTGTTTTTAGACTAAAATGACTGGCCCAAAACTATGGTGGATGAAGAAAAGCATATCATTGTGAAAACTCTCTACACAAAGGCAACCAGAAGAATCCAGAGGCTTTCAGACACAGAGGAAAAACAACCTTCCAAAGGCCAGGAACTGGATGGCAGAGCAGCACTTCAGCTAATGCTGAGCAGGGCAGTGCCCACATCTAACATCTACCCTATGTATTTCCAGGCTGGTATTCTATTCCAGTTAGCTCCAGTCACATGTGAAGGTAGATTCGAAATGCAGGTTACCATTTTGTTTCTAATGTGCCCTTTCTGTGGAAAACAACTAAAATGAGGAAGCTGTGTGATGTCCAGGAACCAGGGATGTGGCACAGGAGATGTCATGATGACACTGACAAGGAGATGTAGCACCCAGGATACCATGCATATCTAAAAGATTGACAGTCAGGATATGGTCAGATGTTTTAGTGGTGGAAACATAGGAAGCCAAATCGAAAACAAAGGCAGCTACCAACTCCAAGGAAGTTGGAAAAACTGTAGCCATGATACTTCCAAGATTCAGCCTTGGACTATGTTCACTTAACTTTCTGTTTTCAGTGGTGGTGCATGAAAAAATGGAAAAAATTTCTACATAATCGGAAATTTAAACAATGCTTAAAATAAAAAATTACCACAGTATTTGTACTGTGTAACTCTATTTCTATGTCTCAGGGAGTGACAAGAGTCCTTGACAGCATTAGGCAAGATAACGCTAAGCTCAGGAAAGTGTCTCAGGTGAGATGGGACGAGAGGGAATGTTCTGAGTGATGGAAATGGTCAGTTTGTAGACACAGGTGTGACACATGTATACTGGTGAATATGAACTCCTGTCATTTTTATGCATCTTTATATAGCCTGTGTTTATAACAAGGGATAGGAAGAAAGAAGCAGCATGCCATTTATTGATATGGAAGGGACACTAGACACATAGCAACAGGCTGGGGATGTAGCTCGGTGGCAGATGGCTGGCCTAGCATTCAGAAGTCCCTGGTTTCTATCCCAGCACCACAAACTAAATCAATAAACAACTAAAAACTATTGAAAATGTGGCTCAAGGGAATGACAGTGGTGACAGGGCATGTTCTATTGTATTTTTTTATGTAACAAACCTTGTAAAATTATTTTACTTTATTAAGGTAATACACGTATAACTTTGATTATTTTTGTCTTAATTTTTGGAGACAGGGTATCATTTTACACCCAGGCTGACCTTGAACTCACTCTGTAGTCCAAGCTGGCCTTGAATAAGCAGCAATCCTCCTGCTTTATCCTCCCAAGTGCTGAGATTATAGGTGTGCAGTATCACTCCTAGCACTTGGATTTTTTAATGCCCAAGGCTATCCATGTTACATACAGTATATGCTGGTAGCTTTGATCTAGTCCCTGTGAAGGGTGCATGGTAGCAATTTGAAAGGTTTTGCTGGCAGGTGCTATCAAGTGACCTGCAAGGTTGAATTCAAGGAACTCAGAACTGGAAAGCCTTATTCCCAAACTCTTTCCTTCTAAGTCATGAAGTGAGAAGGGCTGGTCCCACCCAGACACTGGTCTAGTGCCAATGGCCTGGAGGTCACCCAGTGGAGATGGTCCACAGTAAATGGAAGAAAGAAGGTATTGTCAAAGGGCCCTGCTGCTTTGAAGAGGGCTGTGGTACCTGGAGACTTTCCCAGCCTGCTAGGGTTGCTAGGTCCTCAGGGACAAATAACATCTACAGTTAGGGCTCACATTCACAGAATTAGCATGAACAGGACCAGGCAGGTCACACTGTGCCTGTTCATGTACCCCGCCTACCCAGTCCAGCTTCTTACCTCGAAGGTTGCGGATAAAGTCTTCTAACATCATCTTCCGGTCAGGCTTGATGTTGGGGCTGTACATGTCGGTGTTGAGAAGGATGATGGCAAAGGCCAGGATGAAGATGGTGTCTGGGTTGTGGAACTGCTGCACCACCTCGGGGTTGCACATGCAGTAGCGCTGGCTGCGGGGCATGGGGCAGGACCATGAGCTCCCCAGCCCCAGATCTTGAAGAGTCTGGGGACCAGGGAGATCACTGGCTGTCCATCCCCCCAGTACCCACCTCCCATATGTGCTTAGCACCATGGACTGACTGTAGGTGACTGAGGAGCATCCGTTAGAGGGCCCCATGTGGCTCCCAGCTTGGAGGATCCACTGAAGGGTTCTGTTCTTGTTTCTTCCAGCCCACCTTCCCACCCATACCAGAAGGTCTTCACCCAGTTCAGTATCTCTGAGCCCCTGGCAGCTTTTCTTCACCACCTCTGTTTCCTGGGGACCAGGGGTGTTTGGAGGGTCAGGGAAGTGAGGTGGGAAAGGGGTCTCACCTGAAAGCTTCTATGAGCCGCTCTACTTTCTGGGCTTCCCCCTGCACGCGGATGTGAGCTTGAAACTTCCTCAGGGCCTCGTCCAGCTCCATGTTGGAAAAGTCCATTTCATCTACCACACAGCTGAGGGCAAGCAGGAGGGGCTTGTGAGTAAGGCCAGCCCCCTTCATCCCCTCTGGAGCTGTGGGGTGAGGTGAAGCCACTCTGGAGGGGTGGGGGGACCTGGCTTGCTTCTAGCCAGGAGGGAATGGAGGAAGAGCCTTACAGCTCTACTTATCCCTCTGGGGTCTCCTCCCAGTAACCAGGAGGACAGCATTCTCCTTCCATCTCTCATCTCATGCAGCAGCCCGGGAGGCAAGCTATTGGCTGCTGTCTCTGTTTCACCACAGAATACCTGAGGCCTAGAGTGATGAACTTTTGTGCAATATTTGCTTAACTATGCAAAGATGTCTTGCATTTGCTTAATTATGTAAAGATGTGTTGCTCTTTTACCTTGCCTGCCTAAGTCACCTGATTGGTCTAATAAAATGTAGAATGGTCAATAGCAAGGGAGGCATATAAGCAGAACTTCCAGGCAGGGAGAACAAGTAGAATTTAGGCTTGGGGAGAAAGAAAAAGAAGAAAAAAGAGACAGAAGAAGAGAGGGAGACACCAGGGGGATGCCAGGGACCAGACAGATGGGCATTGAGGAAGAAGGAAAGCAGGACATACAAAATGAAAGAAAGGTAAAAGGACCCAATGAAAGAAAGGTAAAAAGCCCTAAGGCAAATGTAAATGAATAGAACCAGGTTAAATTAAGTTATAAGACCTAAGGGGACAAGCATAAGCTAAAGGCCAAGCTTTCATAATTAATAAGTCTCTGTGTCTTAATTTGGGAGCTACTTAGCAGCCCAAAGAAAATGCCAACTACAATATGCTGGTGCCCAGTACCACCAAGCATAGCGGAAGGCTGAGCTCAAGCCTTTCTGCTCTGGATCCAGGTTCTCTTTGAGCCCATAGGATCTGAAGGTCAAGCAACACTTTTAAATGGGATGAGCCAGGAATGGTAGTTACTTAGAACGTTGAAGTAGAAGGATCATAAATGATCCTACCTCGGAAAAAAATGGGTGGAGATAAATGTTATATTGCATATATCCTATCAAGACTGATTAGGAGTCCATTTCTCCCCACTGGGGTTTCCAAGCGGGTGAGTCTTTCCAGCACCCCCTTTTCCTCAGGCTGCCTGGAAAGGGCAAAGCCTACACAGAGTGTTCCTCCTATTTGACCAACCCCCCTCACTTCCTTTTTGGGTGCTCTATTCCCAGAGTCTTGTGTGAGGTGGCAGGAATCTAGGCATGGTCATGCTGCAGATCCGACACATCCAACATTAGACCTTCCTGCCAAGAGAGGCTTATCACGATATGACTGACGGTGCCCACAGTCTCTCAGAGCTGATGTCTGTCATCTCTGTCACATGGCCTATCCTAGTTACCTCCCTACCAGCTCCTTCACAGCCTGCCCCTTGTCTCCCCAGTTCTCCGGGCAGACGTCATCACAGCACGATGTGGGCATAAGTCACCTTGCCCTTCAAGGGTGCCCTCATATAGCTCAGCACCCAGTACCCCAACAAGGGCTTATCACACACCTACAGAGTGGCTAGCTGAGGTGTAGACAGGCCCTGAGCACGGCCCTCCTCTCCTATGATCTCAGAAGACCAAGAGACCCCCAACTCTATTGCCATTTGCCATGCAAAAGCAAAGAGAGGTGCCACAAAGCAGTGATCTGGGCATGGAGGTGTATGGACTCTGCCACCCCTCTGAGGGTGGGGGGTGGTAGGAAGAGAGGTCAGACCCCAGAGAGTGCTAAGAGGGGTTAAGGGGAGTAGGACCCTTCCTCTTTCTTCTCCCTGCCCTGGGTAAAGCTATAGCCATCCTCAGCTGAGCTCACTGGGCTTTCTAAGGTTTGTCTCAAGCTTGTCTGGATAGGTTCGTGGATGGGGCAGGAAGAGCAAGGAGGCAGAAAGCTTGCCAAGCCTGAAAATCAGTCTGGGAGGGCGAAGGACGCCTGGGTGCCAGATCCTCTATGTCCACCCAGCTAGGCAGCACTCTGGTTGCTCAATGGCTTCCATTGCTTCTGCTCTGCACTCTGTAAGGGAGCACCTTGGGTCTGCATCTGTGGCTGCCCATGGCTCAGCCCCGGCAGGAGCCAGGCATCAAGTCACATAGTGCTGCTCTCCTGGAGAAGGAGACGGCTGTGCAGCAGGGGGCGCAAAGACCGAGCTGGTGTAATACCCGGAGCAGAACCCAAGCCAGAGCCAGAGGTGCCAGGAGACAGAGCATGTGTGGTGTGAGTCCTGTAGCCAGAGCCACATAGAAGGGGGCCAGGCCAGGGAAGGCCAACAGAGAACAGAAGAGACAAAGAAGGAAAGAGACTGTTGGAGAAGAGAGCAGAGAACAAGAGGAAAAGAGACGAGAGAAGAAAGGGGAGACGGGAGGACAGAGAGATAGAGACAGATGGGACACTTTAGGTAGAGATGACTTTGGATGAGGAAGACGCCATGTATTCAATAAAGGACCCGAGCAAGTGGGAGCAGAGAGTGAACACATTGTATCCTCTCATCCCAGAGTGGGAGCCTTATAAAGCCAAGGAAGAGGGCTCTTGGCTCACCTAGGCCGACACAGACTAAAGGTCCTGGCTCCTCCAAGGTCTAGGCTGGCCCTTGGTCCCAATGGACTGATATCTGGAGGCTTCTGAGGCCTGGACCATTAGCCAGTCCATTTATCCTCCTCCCCCATCCCTCTGCTGTGGGTGCTTGAACACTCCCTTCTGCCTTCTGTGTCTCTTCAGACACCCCTCTCCGTGTTCCCCTGCCTCCAGAGCTCTGGGTCACGTCTCTCTCCTAGATGTTGGAAGAAGTGGGTGCTGGAAGCAGGCCTCTATGGGGCAGGCAGAGCAGGAAGTAGCAGCTGGGGGGAAGGGATCTGCCCAGCCAAGCACAATGGCCTAGTTTTTAGTCAGGTGACATGCAGCCTGCTAGTGCGCAGGTTCACTGGCTCGGGGACTGTGGCTAAGAGCTCCAGTAATGAACCAAGAGGCTGAGACCAGGAGCAGTCAGCGAAACAGTCAGGTGAAACAGCTCCCATCCCGAGACAGGGTTTGGAGGACAGCCATGGGGCCAGAGAGTGTCATTCAGTGTCTTCCAGCCTGTTCTGAGAGCCCTGAGCTGGGATGGAGAAGGTATTAGATTAAATGCAGCTCTCTAGGCCACATCCGGATCCTGTGAGTGAGAACTTTTGGAGGCTGGTCTAGGAATCTGCATTCTTTATCAGCTCTCTGAGTGATGCTTGAAATGTGGAAACCAGGTGCTGAGCTGAAGCAAAGGGTTGGAGAAGGCTCAGCCCATTCATTAGAAGCTTTTGAAGTGTGAGTCTAGCCACCTCCAAGTCCCAGGGAGCAGGCTTTGGGAGGGGGCGATTTGTCCTCCCAGGCTATCAGGGCTGCTTTGTGTTGGGTAGTAAGGGACAGAGGGCTGGAATTATGGATAAATGCAGCATCCCCTACCCCTCACATGCCTCCATAGGATGTACCTTGGGGCATCCGTAGTTTATTTTTTGTTTTTATTTTTTATGTGCATGAGTATTTTGCCTGCATGTATATAAGAGCAATATATTTATGTAATTCTCTCAGAAGCCAGAAGAGGGCATCAGATCCCCTGGACCTGGAGTTACAGGCAGTTGTGAACAGCTATGTGGGTGCTGGGAACTGAACACAGGTCTTCTGCAAGAGCTGTTAAGTCAGTGCTCTTAACTACAGCATCAGTGTTTGATAGCAGGTGCAATCCCAGACATCCTGGAGAGAATCCTAGTATTTTTCTAGCTACAAAGCCCCAGCTGGAAGGTAAAATAATGGGCGGAGCCATGATAAAGCCCTCACTCTTCCATAATAGCAAGTCACTTCTTATATAACCGTGGGTTAGCCAAGGTTATATAAGACCTAGGACCTGCCCCATCCTCATCTCAATTCTGATATTCCCTATGCAGGACACAGAAGCAGAGTGAGCTCACAGCCCACTTATGAAGGTACCATGGATTCCCCCAATAGTGGCAGACAAGGCCACAGCTCTCTGACTTGGAATTCATCTCCCTGTGACTAGTAGTGGCCATTCTACCTTCTATTCAGGGAACCATTATCTGCTTTCCTGGTGGGGTCTGTGTCCTCCTGGGGAAGGTGACTAGGTGGCAGACTATGCTGTCTCCCAGCAGAGCGCTCCAGTACAGTCATCGTCAGGATTGTCATCCGTGACCCTAACAACATAGGTTCCTCCAATATGGCTTTTGACCAGTATCTCTACATCCTTTATTTTCCTCATTTTCTTCTCTATACCTCTATTTTGTAGCATCTGCTAGTGTTTAAACCCTTTCCCATCCTTCTTTGTCACCCGAAATCCTAAAGGGAGCAGACTGTTGATCAGTTTAGCAAAACTTCCTGCTGCTGGGACCCAGAGTAGGTAACCTCCCTTTCGTCGCTAGTGTCCTACGAGTCTTCTTGGGTTTTCTCATCTCCCAATTTTACACATACTGTCCCTTGGGTCACCTAACCACTTGCCCCACACTACCACAACCAGGAGAGCCCGTTTTCCTGTCCTGGTTCTGGGAAGCCCCTTTCTTCTGGGGCTCCCCGTGTGTACATGCAGCTGCAGGACTCAGAGCATCAGTCAGGGGCTCCCTCTGGACCCCTGCCTATTGAGGGTTACTTTAGGGCTTGTTTCTTGTTCAGTATGGGACATGTCTCACATCCCCTGTGCATCAGCACGTGGTGGTTCTGTTTTGGAGGTTATGAGACCTTTGGGGCCCAGAACCTAGCTGGCAGATATAAGGCCCTGGCAACCTTCTGGTTTGCTCATACTTCCTGGACCTCCCCCATTGTAGAAATTATTTTAAGGTGTGTTACTTTTGTTTATGCTGTAGAACATTTTTTAAATGATGCAAAGATGTGTTGCATTCTTTTATGTTATATTTGTTTAACTCTGTGAAGCTGTGATTCTTTGCCTGTCCAAAACACCTGATGGTCTAATAAAGAGTTGAACAGTCAAGAGCAAGGCAGGAGAAAGGATAGGTGGGGCTTGCAGGAAGAGAGAAAACATA